GTTATGAAGTCGTGTCCGACCCATTGTGACCCCATGGACAACGTTCCTCCAGGCCTTCCTGTCCTCTACCATCCTCTGGAGTCCATTTAAGCTCACGCCAGCCACCTCATTCTCTGTCGTCCCCTTCTTCTTTTGCCCTCAATCGGTCCCAGCATTAGGCTCTTCTCCAGTGAGTCGTTCCTTCTCATTAAGTGGCCAAAGTATTTCAGTTTCATCTTCAGGATCTGACCTTTTAAGGAGCAGTCAGGGTTGATCTCCTCTAGGACTGACTTGTTTGTTCGCCTTGCAGTCCAAGGGACTCGCAGGAGTCTTCTCCAGCGATAGTTCCATAGAACCATAGTTCAAAGGCCTCAATTCTTTGGCGCTCAGCCTTTCTTATGGTCCAACTTTCACAGCCATACATTGCAACTGGGAAAACCATAGCCTTGACTATACACACTTTTGTTGGCAGGGTTAGGTCTCTGCTTTTTAGTATGCTGTCTAGATTTGCCATAGCTTTCCTCCCCAGGAGCAAGCGTCTTTTAATTTCTTGGCTGTAGTCCCCATCTGCGGTGATCTTGGAGCACAAGAAAATAAAATCTGTCACTACCTCCATTTCTTCCCCATCTATTTGCCAGGAATTGAGAGGGCTGGATGCCATGATCTTAGTTTTCTTAATGTTGAGTTTCAAGCCAACTTTTGCGCTCTCCTCCTTCACCCGCATCAAGAGGCTCTTTAGTTCCTCTTCGCTTTCTGCCATTAGAGTGGTATCATCTGCATATCTGAGATTGTTGATATTTCTGCCGGCAATCTTAACTCCAACTTTTGATTCATTATCAAAAGTTATGTATCCCGATATACAATATATCAGATTGTTTAGATACTATGCACTATCAGAACATAAAGAAATCTAATAAAGGAGAATATTATAGCTCAGGGTTGACATGAGGGGGTCCTTGGTGCTCTTTGAGCTTACTTATTTTCTTGCAGACGTTTCCTTACCAAACTAGGTGACATCATCAGTGTTAGTTTAGACTAGCACTCCTTACTAGCACTGATGATGTTATGATGTTACCTAGTTTGGGTAATAAAACATCTGCAAGAAAACAAGAAAACTCAGAGAGCACCAAGGACCCCTCATAAAGAAATCTTTCCAAGATGCTACCTAGAAAGCACACACAAATAATTAAGTGATTGGATAAGATTGTCCTAACGTTCAATAGTCAGGCAACAACCACAAGAGTTTCACACGGTAGGTAGTCCTTGACTTACAACTATTTGTATAGTGACTGTTTGAAGTTACAATGGCACTGAAAAAAGGGACTTATGACTGGTTTTCATGCTTAATGACGGTTGCAGCATCCCCATGGTCATGAGTTCAAAATTGAGGCACTTGGCAACTGGCATGTATTTATGGCAGCTGTTCCCTGTCCTGGGGTCATGTGTTCACCATTTGTAGCCTTCCCAGATGGCTTCTGACAAGCAAAGTCAATGGGGAAAGTCGGATTCATTTAACAACTGCATGATTCACTTACCATATTTTTTGGAATATAAGATGCACCGGAGTATAAGATGCACCTTAGTTTTTGGGGAGGAAAATAAGAAAAAAACTGATTGGCAGATGGATCGGCCTCCCGGAATACCCCCAATCAACTGTTCCCAGAGGTTAATTTTAGCAACAGGTTCCTTGGTTGTGAGCTCCGTGCCTTGCTTTTTTTTGCTTTTTTTCTGCCTCTGAAACTTCTGAAACTCTGTTTCAGAAAAAACTTTTTCCTGCCTCTGAAAGCTCTGAAACAGCTTCAGAAAAAAAGCCTCTGAAGCTCTATTTGGGGGCTTCTTTTCTGAAGCTCTGTTTGGGGGCTTCTTTTCTGAAGCTTCATTTCTGATGCTTTTTTCAGTTTCTGAAACTTCCGTTTGAGAAGCTGGGCGGGGCTACATTTGGAGTATAAGACGCACCCAGATTTTCACCCTCTTTTGGGGGGGAAAAAGGTGTGTCTTATAGTCTGAAAAATACGGTAATTTGCTTAACAGTTATGGCAAAAAAGGTCACAAAATGGGGCAAATCTCACTTAACAAATTGCTTAGCAGTGGAAATTTTAGGCTCAATTTTGATCATAAATTGAGGACTACATATTCCATGGTTATAAACAGAATAAAATGAGATGTTATGCATCGTAAGGTCTATGTGCAAAGCTATGCCATTCTTTTTTTTTTTTCCTAAAAAAAAAATAAAGTTTTCCCGTGTAGTCAGCCTTTTTGTTGGACCATGCAGTTGTCATGACTGGAGTTGGGTTAATCACTGCTTGAGGTTTCTTGTCAATAATCTCTTTTTAACCTTTAGAACAGTGCAATTTGTAAAACAAGTTTACTCCTGTGTGGTTGAACCCAGCACCCCCTCAAAGAATTCCAACAATGTTTACAAAATTATGTATACATAAATAGGATGAATCCAAGATAGGGAATTGTTAAATCACATTTGCATCCATCCACCCCTATCGTTTCAGAGCAGTTTTGCTTCTCTTTGGCTCTATGACCTTCCACCTCTCTAATATTACACGCGTCACATTCCGAAACTGCTGATCAGTGGGGTTTCAGGAAGGCCACTCAGACATGTCTGGCCAATGTGTCATCTTCTGCTCCTCCTCGGAAGACAAATCTACCGCCAACTCATCTTTTTTGGCAGGCTTCTATAAGGCATGACAACATGCAAGGTACAGGGCTTCAGACACAAGATCTGAGTGAGTCCTTCCTCTCTTGTTAGTCAACTGAGAACACACATCATCCATAGCAGCTCCAGATCAACAGTGGCAACACTATCAATGTGTATGGTCAAGCAAATCAACAAGAAGAGCACTGGTTTCTAACTGAATATGATTTGAAGGCCCATAAAGCTTGATTCAGAACCCCAGTTTTCTCATGTGGAAGCTTGGACAGAGGAAAGCTTCCTCATCTCTCAAACCCCCCCCCCCATGTTAAAAAAGGGTCTTTAACTGAACTTAAAAACACACTAGGCTGTAATATAGTTTATTTGGTTTCAGCTCAGCATACTTGGTATATCTAGCTGATGGAGAAGGAATTAATACAACCCAGGGCTGGGAATTCTTCTAAAATAATGAGATGTTTTAGAAAAACAATGGTAGCCAGATCTGGGCTTGACCTGCACTTTTAAAATGAAGAAGAAGAAAAAAGAAGCATTCTGGATGACACAAATTCAGACAATCATCCCTTCTATGTCATGCTCATTGTCTAGTATAGGGCTCTTCAAACTTGGCAACTTTAAAACTTGTGGATTTCAACTCCCAGAATTCCTCAGCCAGGAATTCTGGGAGTTGAAGTCCACAAATCTTAAAGTTGCCAAGTTTGGAGACCCCTAGTCTAGTATATTTGGAGAATTTCCGTTGAGCTTATTTCTGTGAAAAGAGGGTGACCCTTTGACAGCAATGGGGATTCTGAAGAGATTTTGGCACTTGGATTCATCATAATGTTTCACAGCTAATGAACATGGCTTCCTTCCAGGGAAATGTGAATAAAGCAGCCTAAATCCACTGCCAGTTGTGCCTGCTGGATGCCAGGATCTTACTTGATCTTGGCTTCTGGCTGGAAGGGCAAAACAAGCAAGGTTACTGGACTTGTGCAGCTGCCTGCCAGCCACACAGTGAACTTGCATAGTGTGTGTGTCCAACCACATGGCCAGAATATCAGACCTGCGTTTCCACTGGCAGCACAAGCTGCAGAGCCTATCTGTTGTGTGCTATCTTCTCCAGGTTACAAACTCTGCCATTAGAAACTGTTCCTGTGAATGAAGCTCTCTTAGCTGGTGCAACAAACAGAAAAATCTGAACTGAGATGCTTTAAGTCAGGGGTGTCAAACTCAAGGCTCGTGGGGTGCTTAGATTTGGCCCATGGGGCTGCCCTGGAAATAGCAAAGGACTGGCCCACAGTGCCTCTGCCAGCAAAAATGGGCGGCCCTCCCAAGCTCCATTTTTGCTGGCAGAGGGTTGCAGGAGGCCACGCCCACCCTGGCACGTCCATCTTACCCTTCCCCCAGGTCAAACACAACCCTGATGTGGCACTCGATGAAATTGAATTTGACACCCCTGCTTTAAGCTAAGGCTCCTTTCAATCTGTGGTCAAAAAACCAGGGGTGCTATTCAGGAGGTTCTGACAGGTTCTGCAGAAATAGCGGTAGCGGAAATTTCCGGTAGCGGAAATTTTGAGTAGTTCAGAGAATCAGCAAATACCACTTCTGGCTGGCCCCAGAGTGGGGTGGGAATGGAGATTTTGCAGTATCCTTCCCTGCCATGCCCACCAAGCCACGCGTACAGAACCGGTAGTAAACAAATTTGAATTCCACCACTGCAAAAAAGTCTAGAATGCGGCTATAATTCTGCCTGTCTTGTAGGTGCGCTGCATGCATTGAGCCATTGGAGGCAACTGTGCACAACTGTCTCAGAGCGAAGGAATTTAAACAGCTCCACCCGGAAAAGCTGGTCCTGATCAAAGGAGACAAAAGGCGAAGGTGCTTTGGTGTTGCCAGCCGCAGCTGCACTTTGCAGAATGGAAGAGGCAGCAGCGTTGGCGGCATCCAGCCTGCAAACAAGCCCTAAATGCTGAGTTTGAGGGCGAAGGTGCACCACAGGCAGAACAGAGGCCTCCAAGGGAGCCCTGCCCTCAACTAGGCTGCCCTGACACTGCTGGCTGAAAGCTACACTTCTTTGTGAGAAATGTAAGTTTTAAACTTAGGACCTTTGCAAGCAAAGAATCTAAGGGGCGGCTGACAGAAATACAGCCAGAACAAAATAAGAGGCTTCTTCCCTTCCAGCATCTTTCTCTCTCTTCTTCCCCTCCTGTCCTGTCCTGTCCTGTCCTGTCCTGTCCTGTCTCTATTGCAGTTGCTAACCTGGATATTACATATACTATCCATACTGAAGATCAATCCTTCAAAATAGATCTGGAAGGGACCTTGGAGGGTGTCAGATGTGCCTCCTTTCAATACTCAAGAAAGAAAAACCCTGACTCCATTTTCATAGAGAAAGGTACTTTTACTGAGTATGAACTGAATGCAACCAAAGAAAAGCAAGGTCTGAAGCAAAAGGCGCGAAAATCACATATAGAAAGCATCCCCAAAACCCTTCCCCCAATTGTCCAGCCAGAATTAGCCAATCCACATTCCCCCCAGGGGTCATGTGGGGTGCAGCGTCTGATGGTGCCATCCTCCTGCTATGCCACGACGGTTGATCTTGAGTAGTTATCAGCTTCAAAGAAAACACTGAAGAAAACTTTCTCTTCTCTTCTCCACCAGCTCACTTCCCCTCTCCCAGACATTCCAATAGCTCCCCCCTCCCCCCGTTACAATTTATTTATTTATTTATTTTATTAAATTTCTATACTGCCCTTCTCCCAAAGGACTCAGGGCAGTGAACAGCCACAAGATAAAACACATAAATACAAAAATTTAAAATAAATTAAAAATGAATTAAATAATTCGTTGGCAATAAACAATGGCAGCCGAGCAAGCAAGCAATGAAAAGCGGAGGCTGACAGAGGTCTTCTAGTCCAGCCCCCGCTCAAGCAGGAGACCCTATCCCATTTCAGACTGTCCAGTTTCTTCTTAAAAACTTCCAGGGATGAAGCACCCACAACTTCTGAAGGCAAAAGCTGTTCTACTGGTTAATTGTTCTCACTGTTAGGAAGTTTCTCTTTAATTCCAGGTTGCTTCTCTCCTTGATTAATTTCCATCCATTGTTTCTTGTCCTGCCTTCTGGCGCTTTGGAAAATAAGTTGACCTCTTCTTCTTTGTGGCAGCCCCTCAAATACTGGAATACTGTTATCCTGTCACCCTAGTTTGGCACAATAGCTAATTCATACTTTGAAACAATACTAGGACAAAAGGCACAGATGTTGGCGAGGGGCGTTGAAACAAAACTGCAATGTCACTAGAAGTTTCCCCTAATGGTTTCCACGGCCAGTAACTCCTGGGGCAGGGGTCAGCAACCTGCGGCTCTGAAGCCGCATGTGGCTCTTTCATCCCTCTGCTGTGGCTCCCTGTCACTCAAAATATGCATCACGACCGCCAATGTGCGATACCCGCCAGCATGCGATTTATTGAGCTTTTCAACCCCCAGTAGGCCAACCATGGATAAATCCAAGGAAAGAAAAGTTTCAGAAGAAAACAGAACATTTAATTCAACTACATATGCTAGTTTTGTGACCACTCAAGAAATAGTCAGGCACGGGAAGGGTTTTGTGGCTCCCGGTGTTTTCTTTTCTGTGGGAAATGGGTCCAAATGGCTCTTTGAGTGTTTAAGGTTGCAGACCCCTGTCGTGAGGCAACCTAGGAGAAATTCAATGATGGTTGCTCAGAACCCAAGTGTGTTGTCGTTCTTAATTAGCAGGAGAAGAGGGTCCTCCATCTCTATTTCAGAGTATTTCTCAGAAGCTGGCAGTGTTTTATAGTAGCTCCAACCGCCAACTGTGGATTTTTCTACCTTCTTGACTTAGCTTTGAATGCACTCAGGATGATGATCCACACACCCTGGAGAGAGAAAAAAAATTCAAACAAGACAACATCAAGCCATGAGAAACTTTGATTACCATCCAGAATTCAAAAATGCTTTTTCCCCCTTCTGCTCTACCTGGAAATTTGATTGCATGGAGGTTAGGAAGTGTGGGGAAACAAGTAAATGCACCACCAGTGAACATTTGTCAAATGTTTTGGTAACATCTCTTCCTGACACAGAGGGGTGGAATCCATTCAGAGGATTTATTCATGCTTTAGAGAGTCATCTTCTCAAGTACCCTTCCCCAATCTGGTCCCTCTCAAATAGCCTTGCTGAGAGTGATATTAACTGTACTCCAGAAAATAACAAGCTGGAGAAGTGTGCTTTTGAACTCATATGTCCTAGGCATATGAGATGAAATGTACTTTTCATGCAATGCCCTACAGAGATGTCCGGAGAGGAGCAGTCGAAACAGCTTATGTCCAGGATGTGAGGGCAGGGGTGAAATCTGGCAGGTTCTGACAGGTTCTGGAGAACCAGTAGTGGAAATTTTGAACAGTTTGGAGAATTGGCAAATACCACCTCTGGCTGGCCCCAGAGTGGGGTGGGAATGGAGATTTTGCAATATCCTCCCCCCAGGAGTGGGGAGGGAATGGGGATTTTGCAGTATTCTTCCCCTGCCACGCCCACCAAGCCACACCCACCAAACCAAACCACACCACACCCACCAAACTACACCCACAGAACTGGTAGTAAAAATTTTTGGAAGGCAGGCTGATTGCAGTTGTTCTTTTCTGCAGTCCTAAACTATCCGCTGGACTCTTTAGAGAGTTGGTTGCTCTTTGGTACAGCAACCAAACTCCTGTTTGGTTGCTGTACCAAACCAGACAGTTACTGAAGTACAAACGACAGATTCAGTAATTCCTCTGTAGAAGTGAATCAACAGCTGTTGGGCAGTCTGAACTTCCTGAGTTGATGCAAGAAGAGCATTCTTAGTTGTGCCTTTTGAATGATGGTTCTAATGTTAGGTGACCATTTCAAATCCTGGGAGATTATAGAACCCCCAAAACTTGAAGAATTCTACTGCTGATACTGTGGCAACCCACTTCATGCCAGGAAGAAAAGGGTTGCTTGTTTTATTATTTTTCCCCTGGTAGTGAGGCATCAGGGTGGAATCCTTCTATGTGACATCTGGGCTTTGGGCTCCAAGGAGACTTAAATTATATATAAAATACATACCAATGTTCTACCTGCAGCAAAATGTTGTGCTTTGAAACCAGTTTTATTTTGTTCTCGACTAAGTATGGGCAACTTGCATGTCTTGAAGTCTTTTTTTTTAAGGCCTATTGACGATTACTGAACTCTGACAGCACCGTTTACAGTACTACCTTGTTGAATGGGAAATGACAGGATAGGCTTATCAGCAGGGGGGAAAAAACTCCCTCTGTGTTGCTAAAGGCACAGTCACGACTTATAGCCTTATTACCAGGCACTTTGCATAGATTACTATATCCAGAAGATGCTGGGAATTATTTTTCAAATACAACTCTGTGTTTCTCAAGGCCAGAGAAACTGCTCTCCTGCTAAATATTTCTTCCCAGTATCTTCTGATCTGTTATTGCTCATTTCCGGAATGTATATTGAGATTTCAAAGCAGGATTTTGCACACACACACACATGTGCTTTCAAGCTAACTATTCCCTACTGTTGCAACAGTGCCCCTAGATCCTGGGCAGCACTGGGGAGACAGTCCTAAATACACCTATAAGGGAGAAATCTGTTTGAATCCCTCACCTGTTTTTGAGTAAATATTAAATTGCTCTGTGAAAGGTTGATTGCAAGATAGTTGCTGAGCTTTATTTAATTCTGTGTAAGATTGGGCACATGGCCTTGATTTCTTTACAAGCCCCAGAGGGGATAAACAAATACATTAATCTAAGCACAGAATGGGGCTCCACCTGTGTTTAAGTGGATGCTCTTGGAAATATCTGAATTTTATTTCAGAATAAACATATTTCTTAAGAGGGGACAAGATCCAGCCTTACAATCCAAAGACAATTTGGTTGCTGCTTTGAAACCGCCGGTCTGTTTGTATTCCTGGAGAAAGAGTAGCTGGTTCAGAGATGAAAAGTTTGAGCACTGCTACAGTTGAGTTGCCTATATTTTGATATTTGATGCTATGGCCATTGGGCTTCCTCTGGAATAAAAAATTACCATCTCCTTACCTTGAAACCGGCATGGCCTTTAGATAAACTTGTGATCCTCCATGGATTTCATTGACAGGTAATCCCTTCCAGCTATGCAAATATCAGATCATTTCCAACCCAGACTAGTACAATGCAACAAAAATAAAGAACCGGTTCTTAATCTTATTTTTTTTGCAAGGAGAAGGAAAAGATCTGTTCCTTTTAAAAAAAAAAATATGTAAGTTAGCGGTGCTGTTTTCCCAGGAACTGAAAAGGGACTCTGGAAAAGTTTTCAACAGGAAGGCCAAGGAGGGTGCATAGAAGAATCCTACACAGTTTGATCCTGCACCAACACCTTGGGGCTGTGGAAGTTTTCTTGCATCAGACTCTAATGATGCCCTCTAATTCCAACAGGTAGTAAGCACCTTGCAGCACTTATTGCTATGCCAAGAAGAAGGCTTGGTTTAAGTCTTGGAGTCTGTTTCCCATCTTCAGAAAATTCAGAGCAGGAAGGGATTCCCCCAAAACTGATCTCTTTTGCGCCAGATCCTGCTTGATCAGCCATTCCCAAGCCAATGTTTCCAGATGGGTTGGACCAGGAGGTGAAATCCAGCAGGTTCTGATGGTTCTGGAGAACCGGTAGTGGAAATTTTGAGTAGTTCGGAGAACCGGCAAATACCACCTCTGGCTGGCCCCAGAGTGTGGTGGGAATGGAGATTTTGCAATATCCTTCCCTCAGGAGTGGGGAGGGAATGGGGATTTTGCAGCATCCTTCCCCTGGAGTGGGGTGGGAATGGAGATTTTGCAGTATCCCTCCCCTGCCACATCCACCAAGCCACGCCCACAGAACCGGTAGTAAAAAAAAGTTGGATTTCACCACTGGATTGGACCATAACTCTGGTCAGTCCCAGGGTCTATGACAACTCACCACAGTCAACTCACCATGGCCAATTGGCCATGTCCAACTCGCCATGAAACAACTCGGTGGAGGACAAGAGTTACACTAATATCGAAGAAATAGAGGAATGGAATCATTGAAGAAAAGATGCCAAAGGAGGGACAACATGAAATGGGAATGACAAAAAAAAATAAAACAATTTTTAAACTATTTTAAATAGTTAAATTGAATTGTTGAATTGTCCTGCAGCGAGTTGGCCCTGGTAAGTTGGCCCATTCCATCAGTCCAACCTGGACAGTCCTGCAACTCAGAGCTGCTTCAAGAGTAGTCCAATCCATATGAAACACGTCTGCCTGGAGTAGGGTGATCCAGTCATCCATGAGTGGATGTCTGCTTTCGATCCCATCAGCCCCAGCAATGAGAAAAAGGAATTGTAAGACTATTGCTATTCAAAAGTTTCTTCTGGACATCCTAATGTGTTTCAAACCATCAAGATGTCACTTTTACTCTTTAAAAAGGCACCACGTGCAAACACACACACAAACATGTGTAAGGTGGAGATAAATAACAGATCTGCATTATAATGAATTACAGAATCAAGAACTGCTAAATACACTGCTCAAAAAAATAAAGGGAACACAAGCAGAAGACATCCGAGATCTGAATGAATGAAATAGCCTTATTAAATACTTTGTTCGCTACATACAGTAGTTTTGTGTTCCCTTTAGTTGTTTGAGCAGTGTATAAACTACTGTATGTAAAGAACAAAGTATTTAATAAGGCTATTTCATTCATTCAGATCTCAGATGTCTTCTGCTTGTGTTCCCTTTATTTTTTTGAGCAGTATATTATTCTACTTTTTAAAGATGCCTGTCCTGATTATCAGCAAGGTGTGTCAGTAGCCCTCTGAATGCTCTGAAACAACATGCAGCTTTTGTTATGTTTTAGATCTGAAGGACACAAGGCAAGCTCTTTTGCTGCCTGCCAGAGGCCATCAAATAAGGATTCTTCTGCACTGTAGACTCATATACATAAGAAAGGCAGTCCTACTGTAAAAGTCCAGTGTATTCCCCGGGCCCATCAATCTCCCTTATAGAGAAATAAAAAGGCCTGCTTGCTAGAAAAGAAGTTCCAGAGAACTCAGGGATACTTAAAACAATTAAACCTTTGGGATCAATTGACACTGATCATCCAATTGGATTTAAATCGGAACAGTTTTGTGGCGTCTCAGTAAATAAAACACGGTCCACCACCTCCCAGATTAGGCTCCTGCCCTAATAAAGTTCATTAACGTTTAAAGGGAGGCAAATTCAGGTTCTTTATCTGGATTGATGAAGCAGCTGTTCAGGTTTACACACGCGCACACAGACAGACAGACACACACCGTCCTCCAGCCTGCAGCTCTAATTGTCCATGATAGGCTTGAGTGAACCTACATTCAATAGGACCAGCCCAAGGGTGCCTATATTGTATTTTTCCAAGTCCCACTGAGTTCAAAGAGCATTTAGAAGTTAAATACAAAAGGCTTTTGAAACACCCTGGAATCAAAAGAGAAGTTGCAGTAAAACAAATCGGTGCAAATTTCCAGCTAAATTTGAACTGGCTCTAGCTTTTTTCTCCCGGTCTCCTCCCTTAACAGTTCACAGGTAGCCCTCAATGTATGAAATACGCCCCCCCACCAATTGAGCTCCAAATTTATGTTGCTAAGTGAGAAATGTATTAAGTGAGTTTTGCTCCATTGTATGACTTTTCTTGCCACGTTTCTTAAGTGAATCACAGAGGTTCTTAAATTAGCAACATGGTTGTTAAGTGAATCTGGCTTCCCCCTTGATTTTGCTTGTCAGAAGGTTGCAGAAGGTAGTCACATGACCCCGGGACACTGCCACTGTCATCAATGTGAGTCAGTTGTCAAGCATCCAACTATAAATCACGTGACCCTGGGGATGCTGCAATGGTCGTAAGTGTGAAAAATGGTCATAAGTCACTTTTTCCCATGCCGTTGTAACTTCAAATGGTCATTAAGAGAACCGTTGCAAGTCGAGGACTACCTGTAAAGAGTATGACTTCTTCCTTTTAACCTTAAGCGTTGGAATAACCCAGGGGTGAAATGCTCCTGGTTCAGACGGCTCAGGTGAGTAGGTAGCGATGGCGGTGGCCAGTTCGGAGAACTGGTAGCAAAAATCCCTGCCCCCGCCCCCCATGCCCAGCTGAGCCGCGTGATCATCAGAGCCTTTTTTCCCTTTTAAATGACTCTGACCAGCCAAGCTCTGACAATCCCAGCTGAGTTGCCTGCTGATCAGGCAACTCAGCTTGGATCCTCAGAGCCATTTAAAAGAAAAAAAGTTTTTTCTTTTAAATGGCTCTGACTATCCAAGCTCTGACGATCCCAGCTGAGTTGCTTGAGTTGAGCTGAGTTGTTTTAAAAAACCCTTTGATGATCAGGCAACTCAGCTGGGATCGTCAGAGCCTTTTGAAAGCATTTTTTTTACATCGTTTTACATGTAAAAAATGGTTTTAAAAGTAAAAAAAAAAAATGGGCCACGCCCACCCAGTCACATTACCTCCCCACCACCAAGCCACGCCCACAGAACCGGTAGTAACAAATTTTAGATTTCACCACTGGAATAACCTAATCTCCGGAAAAAATACAGTTCAGTTCTCCTCCCCCGCCCCCCAAACTCCCAACTTCTTCCCCAGAAACTCCAGCCCCGGTTCGATTCCTGGGAGAGGACGGAGGAAAGGACGAAATAGAGTGGTGGTGGTGGTGGAGTTTGCAGGGAGAGGCCTTGTAGAAGGCAGTTTGGGGAGTTTCTGTTTCCTTTCTCTTCCCTTCCCGGCCCCGGCTCCCAAATATTCAGAATGTTTTGCTCCGGGGCGCGGATTAAACTTTGACAGGCTGGATAAGGGGTGATTTCGCCTCCTTTGATGGCGGGATTGCTATTGTCAACAGAAGGAAAATCTCGGGGCTGATCATGGTCATGCATCAGATGCACAGCCGCCACTTGTGCCAGGCAGGAAACCCCGTGATGGGAACTGCACCCCGAGAAGCTTCCATCCAGGAGAGACATTGTCTTTGAAAAAGAAAATCCCCCCCCAAAACCGCCCCCCCCGCTCCCTTTTCTAGAGGAGGAGCTGCCTCTTCAATCGCTGGCAGCAAAAGCAACTTTTAAAAAGTAAGAAACTAACAGGCCGCCACTTTCTCTGTAAATTTTCCACAACTTCTTTGTGAGTGAGAGAATCTCTGAACCCACCGTCTAATTATTAGAAAGTTCATTATATGACACGCCCCTCCGCTCCCCAGTATTAGCAGGCTTTGGAGCCTAATTGAATTAGATAAGATCTGAATATTCTTGCTTTGTGGCCCGCTCCCGGCTCCGGTAAGTAGAAGTCACTTCCAGCAAAGTGGAATCCCTGGGGGATTTGAATTTCGCATTTGGGTGTTCTCCGGAGAACTTTGCAATCGATTTCGGATCGATTGCAAGGCGGAAGTTCGGTTATCTGCCTCTCGATCTTCTCCACCTCCTATGTCCAGATTATTCTGTTGAAGAATAAAAGTCAAGTCGATTGGCTTTCTAAGATGCTACTTCTCAGCTTTGAAAGCAGGCAGACTTTGCGCTTTAAAAGCTATCTCCTCTGTTTGAGGTCTCAATTGTGTTCAGGCTGATTGTATAGCATCAAGTCTTTTGATGTTGTCTGAGCCTTCCAAACAGACAAACGTTCCAGAGTGCACCCGTGAGAATTATGGCCAATAGCAATAGCACTTAGACTTATATACCACTTTCACAGTGCTTTACAGCTCTGAGTCAGCATATTGCCCCAACAATCTTGGGGTCCTCATTTTACCGACCTCAGAAGGATGGAGGGCTGAGTCAATCTTGAGCCTGGTGAGATTCGAACTGCCACATTGCAGTCAGCCGGCAGTCAGCAGAAGTAGCCTGCAGTACTTGCACTCTAACCACTGCGCCACCGAGCGGCTCTATCAATCACAGAGCTATGGCCAATCACAGCCTTCCAAAAGTTCGGCATGTAAATTAGAGTTAGAACTTTTGGAAGGCTGTGATTGGCCATAGCTCTCACTCTGGAGGTATTCTGGAACGTTTGTTTGGAACGCTCAGACAACATCAAAAAGACTTGATGCTATACAATCAGTCTGGATACAATGGAGACCTCAGAAGTAGCTTTTACAGCGCTAAATCGAGTCTGCCTGCTTTGAAAGCTGAGAAGCAGCATCTCAGCAAGCCAATCGACGTGATTTATTCTTCAGCAGCGAGGTACATTTAAGAAGAAGGGCAATCTGGTAGAAATTCAGTGTCAGGTTGCTGGTAACAGGGTTTGGAATCAAGGGGTTCGGAAAGAAAATCGGCCAATGAATGGAATGCATTGAAGGATCTCTATCCTTAGGGCTACCGTACCTGAATTGCAAACATCTAGTTGACCACTAGACGGCAGCAAAGAGTTACGATTCTGTCTCTAATTGCAGGTTAGTGAACATCTGGATTTTCCCAGTCCAGGTAAGGTATCTACGAGACAGGACACAGTGAAGGCCAAATATAGAGAAGCCAGTTACCTTATATATTATTCGGAGAGATGAGTTCTAAATGTACATGTTTCGGAGCTGGATTCAGGCTTTGAATTGGCTCATTGAAATAAACCACGCCTATGATAGATATGACAACCTTACCTTCCAGAGGTGTGTTTCAGCAGGTTCTGACCAGTTCTGGAGAACCGGTAGCGGAAATTTTGAGTAGTTCGGAGAACCGGTAGTAAAAATTCTGACTGGTCCCGCCCCCATCTATTCTCTGCCTCCCAAGTCCCAGCTGTTCAGGAGGAAATGGGGATTGTGAAGTATCCTTCTCCTGGAGTGGGGTGGGAATGGAGATTTTACAGTATCCTTCCCCTGCGATGCCCACCAAGCCACACTCACAGAACTGGTAGTAACAAATTTTGAAACCCACCACTGTATACCTTCCATTGGCTTCAATGTGTCACTTAAAACAAATATAGCTACACCCCATTCGGTATGAAGAGAGATGCTTAACCTTAATCTCCTACACCTTCAAATGATTCTCTGGAGGAGCAATTTAATCATTATAATCCTAATTCTTTCCTTGGTTTTCATTCAATTATTTTGTCCCTCTCCAAACCTGACGATTTCTGAATGCTGATCTTTGACTCAGAGACACTGCCCCATCCCCCTCTTTCTTCTCACTTTCACCAGGGATCTACCAGTACGTCTTGATGAATTCAAGGGAACTCCTGCCTGAACTTCCCACCCTCCTTTTGGCTTTAGATTCAGTCTGCTTTTTAAGAGGAAGGGGGAAAGAAATCAATTACTGCTTCTTCGCAAACTGCTTACAGTTTGATGACTTAAACCAGGGGTTGGCAACCTTAAATACTCAGAGAGCCATTTGGACCCGTTTCCCACAGAAAAGAAAACACCGGGAGCCACAAAATTCTTCCTTTGCCTGACTATTTCCTGAGTGGCCCCAAAACTAGCATATAGAGTTGAATTAAAGATTCTGTTTTCTTCTGAAACTTCTTTTTTTGGATTTATCCATAGTTGGCCTACCGGGGGTCAAAAAGTTTAATAAATTGTGCATCACTGGATGTCGCACATTGGCAATTGTGACATTTTGAGCAATAGGGAACCACAGCAGACAGATGAAAGAGCCACATGCGGCTCCAGAGCCACAGGTTGCTGACCCCTGACTTAAACCATATCTCACCTTGCCTGCTATTAATTGCCCTTCATCTCTTTCTTAATTCTTCCACAGGAAAACATAGCAAGGTCTGGATTGAAACCAGAAAGATAAAAGTGGCCCCTGGAATAAAGCAGATGCAGAGATTCCCCCTTGCCCAGTCTGATTGGACTACAATCACTATCATCCCCAGCCAGCATGGTTATTGGTTCTGTTCTCTAAATATGATGGGAGTTTTAATTAAAGATTGGGAGATGTTGGGGAGTGGGGGGAGTGTGTGATATGGGGCTGGCCCAATTTTTTTCCCCTCCATAATCCCAGACTTGTTTCAAAAAATTATGTTCTGTTGCAGCCTTCCCTAGTTTGACATACTGTCCAATGTATTGGGACTACAAATCCCATCACATATGTAGTGGCTGTTTATTTTTTATTTATTATTTTTGTAAAAGTGGCTCTGACCCATTTAAAGTTAATCATGATTAATAACGTAGTCCTATATATATATCTTTCCAGAAGGAAACCCCATTAGTTCAATGAAATTTACTTGTAATTCAAAGTAGTTTCAGTTGGTCTGCCCCCAGACATGGCTTTTGGAGGAGGATTAACCCCAATATGTGACTGAGGCTGGAGCCATAAAAGTTTGGGTTTGATGCTCCCAACCTTCACATGCTGCTTCTTGCCCTTTCAGTGCCTTCCACAGGGCCCAACAAGTTTAGCTGTTAGTGAGCTAAGCAGTTAATTTCCAATTTAAACATGCCATCTAAACATGTTGGGCTACAGATCCCAGTTCTGTAGAGTCTAGCAAAGCTCTAGCTGGTTGGGAAATATGGCAATGTCATCTGGAGATCACTAGGTTGCAATGGTTTTATTACCCCCCAATGAGATAGAATAAACTCCTTTCTTTTCCCGCTTTGGTTTAACCCCCGAGTTCCTTGCATACAATAGACTGTGTAATATCAATAACTTTGTGGAGTAAATATAATGTTCCAATACCGTAGCTTACAGAGTAGGATGTCAGAATTTCTTTAACCAGAAGTTCATTAGGTAAAAGCACATATGGACAACTATGACTACTAAGCCATTAACTGCGCCTTTCAAACCAGAGTCACTGGTTCTTATAATGTGCTTACCAGAACTTAAACCATCTGATGGCTTAGTGGCACATGAATCCAACCAGAAGGTACATGAATCCGACTGAGACAGTCTTCCCCCGCCCCCACCCTAGAGTTTCAAAGGGGCTGTCCGGTCCCCATCCCCCCCTTGGGATCAAGAAGCCGCCATAACTCAAAGTCAACTGTTTTCATACCTGCTTAACCTGGAAATCGACTAGATTTCCAGGTCAAGGGCAATTGCGGCCCAGGATCTCTCCTCTCGCTAAATCCAATTCATGATCTGGATTTTTGATCCCTTTTCTTCTCACCTGCCTTCTTCCTGAGCCCAGGGCAATTGCAGCCAGGAGGTAAATCCCAGCGATAACCCACCTGCCCAACCCTGCCCGCCTGCGGAGGTGGCACGTTTACTCGTAAGGGGAAAGTAAGAAGAACCCAATGGTTGAGATGAAAACTTTTTCAGATTCTGGAAGCAGGCGGGAGCCGACCCTTCTCTGGTGCTGCCCGGTTAATTCGAACCCAGTCAGGTTCGCTTCGCCCGCAGATTCAAAGCGCCATTGGTTCCATAATGGGGACCAGTTATTAGTTATTTGCAGAGACCTGGTTATTCCACACACACACACCAGTCCTTCCTTCCCCCGCAGGGACAAGAAACGTCAACTCGAAGGTTCCTGCGCTTCTGCTCACCTGTGCTGCTTTTCGAAACTTGCTGACTTTCAAGAGGAGGAGGAGGGGAAAGCAAGTCGGGTCTGCATTCCCAGGAGGCTGTTGCAAGCCTATCTTTTTCAAAGCGGACAGCCCTATTGCGATCCTGTAGTTTGGGAGAGGAAGCCAAACCCCATTCGGGCAAAACCCAAATCATCGGGCTGATTAAACTCTTCCCAATTTCGGTTAGAATATCTGGCCACTGATAATTCGCAGTGGGAGTCACTGCGTAGTAGAGCCTAGGCTCAAACAATGTGCTTCTTTGAGCGGCCCAGGATCTCTCCTCTCGCTAAATCCAATTCATGATCTGGTTTTTTGATCCCTTTTCTTCTCGCCTGCCTTCTTCCTGAGCTAAACCCGCCCTAGAGAAATATACTTAGGATCAAAGAGAGACCGGCTCGGTCTGGCATGCAAAGTCTGGAATCCAGCCTTACCGTTGCACCCTGTGGTCAAATGCAGGCGAAATGAATGCCAGGCAAAACTGCCAGCGGTTCTCGGGCACTTTTCAGCCCTCTGCCGGGAAACTGAGCACGCAGTTAGGGGTCATTGGATCGCATAAACAGAAAGGTACATTTGCCCTGGCAGATGCAGCTTGCTTGCTTGCTTGCTTGCTTGCTTCCTTCCTTCCTTCCTTCCTCCCTCCCTCCCTCCCTCCTTCCCTCCCTCCCTCCCTCCCTCCCTTTCTTTCTTTCTTTCTTTCTTTCTTTCTTTCTTTCTTTTTCCCCCTTTCTCTCTTTCTCTCTCTCTCTGTCTGTCTCTCCCTCTCCCTTTCTTCCTTTCTCCCTTTCCCTGAAGTTTTGCGCTCCCTCCTCCTCCCCGTTTGCATATTCTCGGAGAAACGCAAAGAAGAAACAACGGAAGGAATCTCTCTCTTCTCAAAGGATGGCGCCCAGACTGGCTGAGCGAAGCACATCTGAGCCGGTAACCAAGCGAGGGAGCCAAATGATTCTTGGCAGAAGCCTGGCGTTCAGAAATGCTTTATGCACAATCCCAGCCAAACTTGTCCAAGCCTAGTTCCTCTCTTTCTTAAAGGGCCCACGTCACCCAATTTAAAAATGGGGTGGCATTCGCGTCCTTGGGAACCAAATACCCAGAATAAGATAGCCCGCTTAAAAAAAAAAAAAAGTTAGCCTCTCCTCTCCCTGACCCAATCTGTTGAAAAGTCACCCAAATGGCAGCCGATAGTGATACAGCGGACACACGTAATTGATAAGAGTGCTGTAATGTCACCTAGTCGTGGCTGCGGTGGTACCAAGCCTCTCTCTCTTCATTAAGTGCTAAATCCCTACAGCAATTGTGGGATGAACTCTAAAGCGCTTGGTCGCGAGTCTCGAAATGGCTTAAGTGAGTCATCTCTCAACCTGTTGGATTACAATTCCTATCTCCGTCTACCATAGCCAAGAGCAGTTGTAATCTCACACATTCGAATGGCACCAGCGCAGAAGTAAAGGAAGGAAGATCGAAGCCCCCGCTTCCTTCTTCCTGTTACTTTTTTAACTCTCAACTGCACGTCCCCCTTCCCGTCCCAGCCTTTCCCAGTGGAAAACTCAACCAAGCCCACCACCGCACCCTGCGAAGTGACCCACGAGTAAAGCGAAGCTGACACGCTAGAATTTAACCCTGCGGCCCATTCCAATGCTGCTTCGCTCGTGAGATCCAGACTGAGCGGGATTGCAACTCTTGCTGCAGAAAAGTCCCGATTCACAACTTCCAGCCAAGTTCTCCCTCCGGGTCTTAGTTTCTGTATATAAAAAAAGGTCTTATTGCTTCCGAGCTGCGCTGAAAATGACACCCCCCCTTGATTTGAACGCAAAGCCCTCTTGCAGCTCCGTCCGTCAAGCGGTTCAATCGGCCACTTCATTTGCCCAGCGTCCCCGTGGAAGTCAGCGGAGGTCCGCGGCGACTCGAAAGGCCGGGGACTCACCTGGCTGAGTTCCGGACAAAGACCAGGCGAGGCCCCGTTCCAACCACCGCTTACTCTAGCCGGGAGAGACCCCGCGCTCTGAGATTAGCCAGTCCTCTTGCCCGCAGGTCTGTGTTGCCGCCAAAGCCGAGGAAGGAGGTGGCTGGCCGGTAAATCAAAGGGACTTGGAGGCGCCGCGGCTTTCTGGGACGCTTTCCGTGGCAGAGCGCCTCAGTTCGCCAGAAGCTCCGGCTCGGGGCTGTTTTGCGAGCGGCAGAAGAGCGAAGGCCAGTTTATGTAGCTTCCTCCTTGCTCGGTCGTCACTTCTCTCCCTCGCTCATTCATTCTGTAACCCCCACCCACCTCCCCAAAAATCGCTTGGCGATGCACAGGAGCGCCAGGCCCACTCAGGCAGCGCCCGGCCCTGTGCGCTCCTTTGGCTTCCCTGGAGACGCGCGCCTTGCGCTTCCCGGGTCTCCGTCCCTCTACCCTACCACAAAGCTTGACCATAGAAGAAGAGGAGCGAGGACGAGGAATCATCCTGGCAGCTGCTCTGGCTCGCTTGTCCTCTGATCCCAGCTAAGGAAAGCTGGGCCGACTCCCAAGAGGACCGGGCCCTGGGAGGAGACAGGCGAGACGCACAACTCCGGAGCTGCTCGTGGCGGTGTAAATCCATCATCCGCGGAGACAGTTTGTGAGGGCCGAGTGCATTCCTGAGTCAATGCGCAGGCGCGGATCCTGCACTTTATGACCAGGTGAGCAGTTCCTCTGGCAGGTAAAAGAAGTCTTTGCCTAAAGAGATCGCAGGAGAGGCAAGCGGGCGGATCACTCATTCCATGACCAGCGGGGACCTGGTGATAGGCAGCCCGGAGCCAAAATGTCACTTCTTGCAAAAATGGGGGACTGGCAGGTAATTTCGCTTTCCTTTCCTTCTTTCTCGATTCAGGGTTATTATTATTTTTTGGCTTGTAATTTAAAGAAGGAAAAGGAAGGATAGATCCAGGTGAGCAGGCTGAGTAACCAACCCACTAGTCTTAGGGGCAATGTCCCCAAGGGAAAAGAAGGCGATCTGATTAGGATACTACATGGTTATGCAAAGAGACTCCGCGACCTTTCAACAGGTGGGGAGAGTTGGTTGCTGAGAGGGGGGGAAGGGGGAGAGAGGGGGGAAGAAAGATAATGTTAAAAAGGAAGCAACAGCGTCGAACCATAGCTTTGTCTTTACAGTAATAAGCCATCCCCACTGGAGTCTTCTTGTCTGGGAGTTGGTTGGCTTGCTGATTCTTTTTAGCATGTCTTTATGAAATCCATTGCAAATACTAAAATCTTTTTTTTAAAGAAGTTTTTCAAATCTCCTGGGTCTACGTGACTGTGGAACTATGAGTGTGTGTGTGAGTGTGTGTGCATTTGTGAGAGAGCATGAGCCGGAGAGCAAGGCACCAAGACGATTCCAAAAAAGGAGCATATATTGTACAGTGTGTAAGCACCTGGTTAGCCTTTCTGGCGCGGAGGTCGGGAGAAACTTAAAAGGTGCCAGAAAGCGAAAGCTATTCTGCCTCAGTTTAGGGCTAGGCCTTAGTAAGGCTGTTGCTTGGACTGCGGTCAGAGGTTCCACCATCTTTCAGAGGGAGAAAGCTAAACATCACTCTATATCCACTGTTCCAAAGGAAAGGAAAGGAAAGGAAAGGAAAGGAAAGGAAAGGAAAGGAAAGGAAAGGAAAGGAAAGGAAAGGAAAGAAGGAAAGGAAAGTTAACTGCAGGCTCTGGGCTGCCTATGGACTGTGCACTACCTATGAACTCAATGAACGAGGAAGTCTCTTTCTATCTGAAGACAAAAAGGCTGAACCTCGCCATTCCACCTTTATCCCTGTTCCATCTCTCAGCGGATTGCCAAAGCCAACCTGTAGCTCCTAGTGTGGCTGGCGTTTAAATTTCCTGCCTCTCCTTTGCCTTCTAATTTCAGAGCTGTTTCTGTAGAAAGAGAAAAGGTTAACCTTACACAGGTCTGGAAGCTTGGTGGCTTTTTTTCCTTTCCAGGTCCGGACCAAGGGATAAAGAAAAGTCAAGGGCCTGAAAACTTTTTTTAAAAAAAGTTCTTTTGATTTCTGAAAAGTTTCAATGCTCCCCAGTTCTAGATATTGTGTGAAAGTGTATGTGTCTGTGTAAACGTTCCCGGAGGCTTAGACAATCTTAAAAAGAGTCCTAGTTCTTTTAACGGCGTCTTTGGCTTCTTCCTATGGAAGTCAGTAGCCGAAGTGAAACAGCCTTAGCTGCCGATATTTCAAGTTATAATTTTTTTAGGGTTGAACTGTAACTGCATCTGAGTCGGAGGCAATTTTTTAGGAAAAGCTCTTCCTGTACTGCAGGGAATGGCGTTTCAGGTGTGCAAAACGCCAAGCTTCCACGCCTTACAGCAAAGGTCATAGTGGCTTGGAGGCCAAATTTTGGCCTAGGGGGCTGACCCTCCACTGGTCTAAATTGGGCAGATCAACTAAAGGGATGATCAGAAGAGGGCGACCTGTCTGTCTTGCTTTCTAGAAACCCTGGGCTTCCTGAATCAGGAGGCCGACAACTGCTCCCTTACAGGCTTGGGACAACTACATATGGCGATCCCACTGGCATAATTGAGTAGGAACAGCTAAGAGACCGCTGCTCCATTGTATATGCCAGAATGTTAGGAGGACCTCACAAGGTCCCTTTTGTTTCACCTGAAAGCGTACCTGAAGCTCTTCTGCCACATTCTTTTTCCACTACCCCTCTCCCTATTTTTAACCGGGTTTGGGATCCTGACCCCGAAGGCCTTGCCAGCCAATCCATGCAGGGCAGAGTTACCCATTGTGGATGCTCCTCGAGGAAAGGCCGAGCTTCCGATCCCTGCCTGCAGATCTCGAGGAGCCCTTTTTCCACCCTCGCCGCCTGCTTGAGGTGACCCTGGGGGAAGAGAAATCATCCACTCCCGTTAGTGCCTGGGAGCCGAATGGCGCAACACCCTCGCCGCTGGAAGGCACGGCGTGCCAAGGGAGAAGAGCGGAGAGGGGTGGGTGCGTGCGTGCGCGCAGTTGACTCGCCCTGCCAGCGGGCGTGAGGATGGGCCTCGTAGAGAGCCTCCCCGCGGCTGGGTTTGAATGTCGACGGAGAGAGCAAAGCGCCACTTTTCCTCAGGGAGTCGGGAGGAAAAGGAAGAGCAAGAGGAAGAAGACCAAAGAGAAATTGGGCAGGTGCTCCAGAACACGGGAAGCTGCTCCAGAAACCGGTTGTACGGCTCTGGATCCGATCCTAAACTTCCTGATGCTTTCCAGCAGCCAGTTCAGTTCTGCTGTCAGCTTAGGTCGAGGCTACCTTGAGTTGTAAATGCCTGCTAAATCTCCGGATGGGCCCCCAGAATCTGAACCCAATTAATTGGCTAATCTTTTCAGGCCCTTGTTGGAGGTAAAGGAGTGGTAGGTTTTTGCTGCGCTCCAGGTTGTTTCCTTCGGGAATGCGGCTGTCCTCGGCGGAAGGGCAGAGGTGGACGCAGCGGCAAAAGGGCAGCTCCAGCAACATTTCTGGACTGCGGTGTCGGCGTCCGAATAAGGGGAAGGGGGCTTGGTTTTAAGAGAAAGGCCAGCACAGACCCTGCCCCAGCTTTGCTTGCGCTGAAACGCCTGCCTGATCAGAAATCAATTTGGATTAGCATAAAACGGATGAGCAATGAGATAATCACGGTAAACGGAGGAGGAGGAAGAGGGAATCCAAACGAACAGCTTTGAACAAGCCACGGAATGAAATAAAGGAGGGAATAAAGATTCGAAGTATAGATGTAGCCAAGGTCCACACTGTTTTAATAGAAGTTAGGCTCTTTCCCATCTCCTATCAGTCAATCTGGCTGAAATTCGATTCCAGATATTGGGCGACTTGGCACGCTCTGCTTGCGCTCAAAATGTGTCTTTCTCCGTGGTCCCCCCCCCCCCAGCCTTGAAAAGAGAGCTGATTTCGAACAGAAAAGAAAAGCTGGGTAGGAAAATCCATACCTCTGCCTTTAATTCACTGCTTGAGCCTAACTCCCCCTGAGTCATATGGCTTTGTCCCTTATGAATCAGAGGGCTATTGTCTGTAAAAAAAAATGCATTGTGGCCTTGAGTCAAATTTATTTCAGTCTGAATGCTACCTGCCTGAGCTGCCCCAGAAACCACCTGTTGTTCAAGTGTTTCTAAGAACAAATCTATTTTGGAATTAAGTCCACCTAATTCTACTCAAGAACACAACCTTGGAGAATTGGGGAACACACCTCACTGTTCCCGATTAGCTGAAAAAGCATATGAGGGGCCAATTCATATATGTGAATAGGCAAAAATATGCCTTAAGGTACTGAATGGCAAAAAAAGTTTCATCAGGGTTAAAAAAAAAAAAAACCCCAGAAAGTCGACTGCGTGTTTTTCCTCCTTGCTGCTAACAATTTGGGATTCACAAATATTGTGCATATATGCGCGTCTTGGGTTTGGAGAAAAAGCGTGCGCGTGTGTGGGAGGCGATTTTGTGAAACAAAAATTAATGACTTCAGAGAACGAGGAGAAAGGGGATTTTTATATCCAAACCTGGGCCATTGAACCAGTCCCGAGCATTTTAACTTGGGTGGGTGTTCGGTCCAAGGGGACTTTTCTGAATAAATAAGGATCAGGCCTTACGAACTCAGCTCGTTAACTCTTCTTCTGGCTGGAAGCAGATCTCTCGGGAACCCACGCGCTTCCCCTGGATTCTAAGTGTCCAGAATGGGATCGCAGATTGCTGATGTGTTCATGTGGAGAAGAGCGACCCCGGGAGCTGCTCAACAGAAAAGGATCTCGTCGGAAACGTCACTTTTTGAAGGGGTTTTCTACGCTATTTCCGACTGAAGAAATCGCGGGGGGACTGGGTGGGTGGGGGGGCGTCTGCAGGGAGGCGTAGGCGAGAAGCTAAGTTCAAGCAAGGGTCTCCCCACCGGTCGCCTTGTGAACATTGCAGAGTAGAGGAACAGATGCCCGGAAGGCTGTTGCTTTAAAAAGCGAGGACACCCCAAGAGAAGCGCCCCGCTTCCTTCTCCCCTGCCGGGGCCCAGTGCTTTACAAAGGTTTTTTGTTTTTTTTTTCCCCCTCCAAAGGGAGGCAGAGCGCGAGCGAGCGAGCGAGCGGAGTCCCTGCGACCCTGGTCCCTTGGCGGGCCAGTTGCTGCGCTGCTGAGCAATTGGCCGAGGGTTGCTATGCTAATGAGGTGGCGACTGGGCGGTTGGTGAAAGACGAGTGGAAGAAGGGAAAAGTTTCGACCATTAGAGGGAGATCTCCGAGCGGGCACGGGAGATCGCCTCCGCCTCCGCCTCCTCCTCCGCCTCCCTCCTGCTCCAGCACTCCAGCGGGCGCGCTCTGCATGCCAGAGGAGAGCGCAAGGCAGGCGGGCAGGGCAAACAGTCTCGTCCTCTTTCTCTTTCTCTCTCTCTCTCTCTTCCTCCCTCTCTCTTCCTCCTTTTTTTCTTTCTTCCTTTCCTCCTTGCTTTCTCCCCTCTCTCGCGCCCTCTTGCCGCTCGCCACGCCAATCCATGAAAATGCTTTGGAAACTGACGGATAATATCAAGTATGAGGAATGTGAGGTAAGCGCTTTCCGGCGACTGGGGCAACCAGGAAAGAGGATTCCCTTCCTCCCGCCCCCGTCTCTCTCTTCTCCCAAATGAGAGAGCGAGAGAAAGAGAGAGAGAGAGAGAGAGAGAGCGAAAGAAGAAAGAAAGAAAGAAAGAAAGAAAGAAAGAAAGAAAGAAAGAAAGAAAGAAAGAATTGCCAGCTGCGATTGGAAAACGTCTTGCAGCACCCAACGAAGCTTTGGGAGAGCAACTTCTTCACTTGCCGACTTTGGCAAATGGGGAGACGAGGGCGGGTGGACTCGAAAAGGGGCAGGCGGAGGATGCACGCCTGTGCGGTGGGTGGTTTAGAAAAGAAAAAAAAAAAGACCTTTGCCGAAGCAGACCGGGAGGGGAGCAAGAAAATACACCCACACGGATCTTCCTGCAAAGGCTCCGTACCCCAACAGCTACAGGGAAAGGGTCGAGAAGATGGAATGGATGAGCAAAATGAATGCGGAAGAGCAAAGTCACCACGAGACAAAATTAAAATGTGTTTTAGCCAGTACCGAGATTCCCAGGATCTCCCAAAGAGAGCCACCTCATCGCTCTCAAAAGAGTTGTCTTGGATCCACAGGTCTGGTGTTGCAGACTTGAGAGATCTCTGATATGGATAGTTGTCATTTCTGCATCCAACCTCTTCTGACGCTGCTGCAGCTTCCTTCTGCTTCTCAGCCCTTTGATTAGAATTAAAGGGGGAGGAGGAAGAGGAAGAAAAGGATGGTGTTGAGAGGAAGGCAGCGTGGCTTTAAGCTCTCTTTTGAAAGTCGAAAGTGGAGCCTGGTAGGCACTGCGGGTGGGAGATGCTCGGAGTAATTCAGACGGGCGTGGAGAGTAGGCAGAGATGGAGAAGCACCGCCTAACTAAGGTGCCAAAAACAATCTGTTGGTAAATTTGTGCCCATAGGGTGGCTTGGTGAGAGATCTTGCACAGGCGTATTCTATCACAGGGCAGAGTATAAGAAATGATAAGTATTTGGATGAATGGAAAGTGTTTATGAAAAGGCAGAGCATGGATCACTTCAGTAAAAGTAGCTTGCTAATTAAATAATCGCGTATCTTCCACGTGCTCAGAGAAAGATAAGAGTTAAATGCTAGTGTGTTCTTCTTTGTGAATTGCAAGAATGATGCTATCTTTAATTGGGTTTGAGTCTTCCAAATTCTTTGGGGAGGGGGGTCTTTGTTTCCATTCCAATCCTACCTTAGGTGTGTAGTACAAACACGAGCGCGTACATTACACTTTCGCCTTTGTTAATTCTATACACACACACACTAGAATCCGGCAAGTGGCACTTTGGAAGATTAATTAAGAAAACCAGCGTCGGTTGGTGTGGAGATTTATGGCTGCTTTGGGGTGGGGGGGGGCTGGGGAAATCTGTCTATAAATGTAGAGAGAGCAGGACAGGCTCCCTCTTTCATTGAACGTGTGAATTGAGAAAGTTGCGCGGTTCTTTTCTTCCCTCAGTCATTTCGGGTGAAACCGTTCCCTTCCGCGCAGGCTTACAAAAAGCCGGGTGTGGGGATTCCCACGCTTGGGGCTTCAGAGCAAGAGATTCAGAGGTGAGACTTCCGTGGCTGGCTAGAGTGGTGTTTGGGGCGAGGTGCGTGGCTGGTTTTTGTCTGGGGCCACGGGGTTCGAGCGTCAGCGGCTAAAAGTAGCTAGCGGGGCTTAAAATGGATCTGGGCTATTGGAAGTTACACCTTATTTTCCCGTTTACCTGGGCATAACTGCACCGAGCCTCGCGGCTTGTATTTCTAGGTAAATACGCCTGAAGCCGAACGTGGAAGATAAAGCTAAATATAATCACTCCGATTACATTTGTTTGTTTATTTATTTTAAGTTGGGCCACAGGGCAGCTTTGGAAAACTCGCAAAAGTGTTTTGATTGGCTTCCAACGTTTTTGCCAAACGCGACTGACATAGTAGTGAAGTCTTACGTGCCTCCCCTTCCCCTGAATTTTTCTGTCAGGTTCCGGATTCTTCTTTTTAAAATAAAAAAAAAAACCCAACCCAAACCAACCCAGAAGAGCCTTGATTTGGGCTCCCGGTGCTTTCGGCTGCCGCGCAGCGCCCCTTTGGCTGGGGGAACCTCGAGAGCAGCATCGGAAGGCGGATGGAGGGCAAAAAAAAGCAGCTGGCGACAAGGAAGGGCTGGGTTCCTTTCATGCCTCTGGTGAGGTGTGCTCCAGGAGTTGTGCCGAGGCCTGCTTGCTCGGCGGCAGAATGCCTGTTGTTATGATAAGCTGGCAGGAAAAGTGGAACAGGCCTGTCATTTCCCCGGATTCGCTGGCGGTGAGCTGCCCAGCCAGTTGGACGGGTTGGGCCCAGCCTGGGAGCCCGAGCTTGTCAGGGCCAGTAAAGCGGCAGTCGCCTCCCTTTTTTCCCCCTTCCCTCCCTTCCTCCCCCCCCTCTTTCGCCACCCTCTTCCCCGATCTTCAGTCCCAAAGGGGGGAAGGCTCCTCTGGGCTCCCAGGAGGCGGAGAGGAGCTCCGGAGCCCCGATTCCCTGGGGACTGAACGCCTGGGGAGACGGGATCCCACGCGCCTAGGAGGGAGGGAAGAGCCCTACTCCTCTGCTCGGGGATCCGGCCAAGGCCCGCAGCGCCTCCGCCTCCTCCTCTTCCTCTGGGCCCTGGAGTCATGGACCTGACGCAGCAGGACGCTACCGGAGCGGAACTGCCGGGCCCGCCCGAACACAGGCGGCTGAAAGCCGGGGACCCCAAGCCGGAGCCAGAGAGCGGCAGCTCGGGGGTCAAGAACGGGGCCGGGGCCCGGCAGTTGCTAGCCCTGTCTTTTGAGGCGCCTGACTTCACCCAGCCGCCGCCACCGCCGCCGCCACAGCCCGAGGTGCGCCTCCCTTGCCTTGAGCTTGAGGTTCCTAGCGCGACTTCTCCACTGCTGTGCTTCCCCTTGGCTGGGGAACCCCTACTTGCTCTCTCCCATTCGCCCTTCTCGCCCTCTCTGCTTCTGCAAGTTTTTCCGCATGCCTGCCCTCTTTTCCAGTTTCCTTCTCCTCGTTCTTCCTTCCTTCCTTCCTTCCTTCCTTCCTTCCTTCCTTCCTTCCTTCCTTCCTTCCTTCCTTCCTTCCTTCCTTCCTTCCTTCCAGTGCCTTTCCCCATCCCTCCTCTTTCCCCTGGTCTCTCCAGATTCTTTTCCCACCCATTCTCTCTGCACCTTCTCCCGTTCTCCCCTTACTCTGCCTGCCTTGGCTTGCCTTGCACCCACCCGTTTGCTCTCCCTGGCTCTCTTTCTCTTTCACTTCTGCCTGCCCTGCAACCTTTTAAAATGTTGCCCCTTTCCTGTGATTCGTCAGACGCAGCAACGGCATGACTCTTCCCCCCCCCCCCCTCTTTTTGTCTCTCTCTCTCTCTCTCTCTCTCTCGCTCCCCCCACCTCTGATTAGATACACTGATTCTTCATTCAATGGACGTCATTTAGAACAGCCTCTGCCTTGAGTTGCTTCCTCGCTTCACGCTCGATTTCCAGCCATTCTTCCCTTATTAAGTATTCGTGTAGTATTAATAGTCATGAATATCTGCTATTAGGAGTCTTAAGGAAAGCAGGCTGCAGATTCCTCTCCCTCCCTTCCTCTCTCCTTCTCTCTCTCTCTCTCTCTCTCTCCCTCCCTCCTTCACTCTCTCTCATTTAGGAACTCACGTGCAGCAGTAAAAGGAGGGAGAGAGAGGGAGAGAAGGAGAGAGAGAGAGAGAGGTGGGGACCAACGCGCACACACGCACACCACCCGCAAACGGATTAAGGAACACACACACACAGGCGCGCGCACCCCGACTCAACTTTGAATCGTGAACTCTCACGCCAAGGATCCGGCTCTCGCTCTTCGCTGCTGCAGAGACGTCGGGCATTCGGTTGTGGACTGATGGATTATAGGCGCGCTTGCCCAGTGCTGGCGGACAAGTCTGGGCGTTGGGGACTCGGGGTGGTTTAGACCCGGGCTCCCTCCATTGTGTGTGTGTGTGTGTGTGTGTGTGTGTGTGTGTGAGAGAGAGAGAGAGAGAGAGAGAGAGAGAGAGAGAGAGAGAGAGAGCATTTGTGTGCAAGAGGGAGAAAGAGAGACCGAGGGACAGAGCAAGAGTACGGCTAGGAAGCGGGCGAGCGAGCGAGCGAGACCTAAAAGAGTCCACTTTTCTCTGCCTTTTTTTTTTTTCCTGGCCCTGACTTGGTCCCCCCGAATCCGCGCAGATGTTAGTTCACAGTTTCTCAGCGATGGTGAGTGTGCTTCAGACTTCTCTATCTGGGATGGGTTGGTGGGAACCTCGTCACCATCATGCTTTTCCCTCATCTTCTGGGGTGGGTGGGTGGGTGGCCGGCTGGCCGGGTGTCACCTCCCACCGAAACCTTTCCTCTTTCCGCGTCTCCCCTCTGCTCGTTTGCAAAAGCTTCCCGGGTCCTCTACTTTGGCTGCTTCAAGTAAACTACAAAAGGCTAGCCATGCTTCCACACCCGTCCATTGTGTTTTGTTTTGCTTTGCGTTTCCCCTCCCCTTCCGATTGGGTTTCACCTCTTCTTTCCGCTCTTGTCCTTTCCCGGGTTAATAACGCTCCTCGGGAGACTAAAGTCCAAGGCATTTAACAGCACTTTTCTTTATTTATTTATTTCCTCGCTACCTCTCCCCTCCCCTCCCCCCCCCGACTTCTATTTGAATGGCTGTTAATTTCCTTGAGACGTACCTGCGGGCTATAATTTCATAATTTACCAAGTCCCGGTTGTACAGAAGCAAAACCTCTTGCATCTTCCTCCTCCTCTTCGGCTTCATTTTTGTGTTTCCCAATTGTTTCTCTTAATTTTGCTGCCTTGTTATTTACGTAAAATTACGAGTTGCATGTATACGTTATATGGATGTGTGTATGTCTGTGTGCATTTACACCCGCCCCATACGTACGAGGTTGAGCGTCCCGTATTATATTATGATTTGATTTCAATCAACGAAATAGCACGTTGTTTATCCATTTTGGTCCCATGCTAGATTGGTAAATGCTGACTTTTATATTTAAGTATTCCCCTCCCCCCCCCAAACGCTGTTCTTTTCCATGGCATTTTGGGTGTCCTTTTCCAGGGAGGGAAAAGAAGGACTAATGCAGCAATGGTGCACTTTCACTTTTTAGAGCAAGGAAAAAGAGTATTTGTTTGCTCTATTTCACTTCTTTTTGACAATGATGCCCGTAGGCTTTTTAAAAACAAAGGTTACCCACGCCCACATACGAGCACACACAGAGAACACACGTTATTCCTCTCGAAAGAAAAAAAAAAAACCCTTCTGGATCTGCTCTTAGTAGGAGAATTTTGTTCGGTTTTTTTTTCCCTCCACAGGAGTTTGGCCTTTTTCTCCCCCAGTTTGTTAACTGTAATTCACTCAGCTCCATTTAGAGGTTGTTCTCTGCCAGACGGGAATATCTCGAAGGGTGCTTTTGACTCTAACTTGAGTGCAAATATTGTATCTCATAGTTGTTGTTTTTTTTATAGGGTGATAAACATTTGGCCTAATCCACAGTTTAATTTTGACTTCTCTTCCTCCTTCTCTTTCTCTTTCTCTCTCTGGTCTCCCCGTCCTCTTTTTCGTGTTCTTATTCATCAGGACCGCCACGACGCTACCAGCAACGGGACAGCCCGGCTACCCCAGCTGGGGAGTGTGGGCCAGTCTCCCTACACCAGCGCACCTCCGCTCTCGCATACACCGAACGCCGACTTCCAGCCCCCTTATTTCCCACCTCCATATCAGCCCATTTACCCGCAGTCTCAAGACCCGTATTCTCACGTTAACGATCCGTATAGCTTGAACCCTCTTCACGCCCAGCCTCAGCCCCAGCACCCGGGTTGGCCGGGACAGAGACAAAACCAGGACACGGGGCTTTTGCATACGCACCGCGGACTTCCCCATCAACTCTCCGGCTTGGATCCCCGAAGGGATTACCGGCGGCATGAAGATCTCTTGCACGGACCTCACGGCTTGAGCTCAGGACTAGGAGATATTCCCATTCACTCGATACCTCACTCGCTGGAAGACGTGCCGGTAAGGAGACCCGCGAGGCAGGGAGGCAGGCGGCTTCCTGCCGGCTCTTTTTTTCCCCCCCCGTCCTCGCCCTGCCACGCTTCTTCTCCTTCTTCCCCTCCCCCCGCTCCTCACCAGGGGATGGGAATTACAGTGTGCATTTCAAGCCTCCAGCACACCCTCCATGAAGGCAAGCAGCAATGGTGTCTCGCGGTTGGCAACCAGAGTTGAATTGTCTCCCGCCAATGTCTTCAGTTGCTAATGCTGAAAAATAGCTCTTTGCTTTTGTTGATGGGGAGTCGAGGGAAAAAGAGGGAAGGAAGGAAGGAAGGAAGAAGGAAGGAAGGAAGGAAGGAAGGAAGGAAGGAAGGAAGGAAGGAAGGAGAAAGAGAGAGAGAGAGACGCCAAGATCAGAATACCCCCCTACTGACGTCGTTGGCCATGCTGCCTTGTTAGTGACAAAGCGAGGTAACTCTTAGAAAGGCTGTGTCACCTTAGAAATCCTGGCCTTCAGTCGGATTTTTGGCTGGCTTGAAAAAGAAAGCAAAAACTGATCCAAAGCTTTCTTTCCACTTCGGAGCTGCTTGTTTGGAAGGTGGGGAGGAGGAAGAGGAAGCAAAGAATGAATTGCAATTCTTCGGATTGCAAACATGGCGTAGGAAATGGTCTAGGCCCGTCACCCCCACACAGGGAAAAAAGAACAATGTGCTGCTGTTGCTATTGTTGTTGTTATTAATTTAACTAAGATTTTGGAGCGCCTTAAATGTTTTTTTTAATATTATTATTCGGGTCAGGATCTGGTTTCTCTTATCCGCAAATATAATTTGAAAAGAAAACTGGTGTCTCTCCTCCCATCTTTTAACAGCCTAGAGCCCTTTATAGCCAGGGGCAAGCACCATCTGAGTCTGGCTGCAAAAGAGGGTTATTTCTATATATTTTTTTAAAAAAACCCACTCTTCTACTGAATGCAGAATTTAAACAAGCCAGTAATTTTACTCCTGCTTCTGGTGCTGGTTACATTGAATAGAATACATTTGTGGGCAAGGGGAAAGGAAGTTTCTAATATTAGCCTGGGATTTGTTTTGGTTCCCGTTACTAAAATGTCACCGCAGATTATTGGATCAAATATTATCATAGTATGTTCGCTGACAGTTTAATGGTTTCCAATTCCATGTTGCAAGGATAATTTTGGGATGGGTTCCTTTCAGAAAGCGATTTCCCCACCTCCTTTATTCCATTCCCTTTTATTAATCCATATTTGAAGAAAACGGAGGAATTCATTACAGCCCCAACTCTCTTATCCCCCAAGAAAATCGCGCTTAGGTTTTGTTTTGCAAAAAAAAAAAAAGGGGGGGGCATGCCTTGAAGTATCCATATCTCTATGGGAATTGGGCGTTTTTGAAAGAAAAAAAAAAGCTACACCAGCCAGTTTCCTTTTCATTTAAAAAACAATCCCCAAAATAACACCAAGGATACCTGGTTTGGAACTAGGGTTGCTTAGAAAAAAAAACCCCAGTTTGAATCAGCACTTTTAAGTAAAAACAGTTGCACTGAAATCAGGGGGAACTTCCACTAGTGTTTTGTTTTAGGTATCAAGTTGCAAACGATTTTGCTGGGATTTCAGTTGCGACGAGAATTGTATGTGCGATTTTTTGGGGGGAATAATAAATATAGGTTATTTTACTATGCCAGCAGTTAAGAGATGTCTGGCCTGTTTTAAGAAAGGCCGTTAGCAAGTAGTTTAAGATAAAAACATTTAACAGGAACACCTCCCTCTTTATTCGGGGTCGAGTATTCTCAAAGCTGATAAATCTGATCCGTTTAAAAGGGAAGGCCATTGATCTTCGAGGAAGGCGGGCGGCGTCACGTTAGGATGCGTGCTTTGACAATGGAATAGAGAGCGGCCTTGCAAAGGCATCACCGTGTGCACGGAGCGAATGAAGTTCGTTGAAAACAATTGCCACGATAGGAGAGGCTGTTTTTAATTTTTCTCCTGCTTATATCAATAGCTATAAGGAGGCTGCTTGATACGGAATAGTTGCTTAAGCTGAGGATCAGTATTATTTAAACATAAGTATCTCGGCGGGATTTTAAAACCTAACAGCCGGTGGCTTTCGTAGACTCTGTCTAGGTGAAGAAATCAGACAAATAAAAACGTTATGCCCCACTACATTATTAAATAGGTTTAAGGCTCTTTGCTTGAAGGGATATTTTCCCATATAGTTTAAAAAAAATCCAAGAAAACGGCAGCCATAGTCATTTCTGAACATTTCTCAATTTAATTATGCTCAAATCCAGAAGCACTTTAGGCAAGTTACAAATGAGAGCATTGAGTACAATAAAACCTGTAATAAAGCAACTTCGTACCATCCACCCGGAATCATTGAGATCAGGCACAATTAACAGGAGCATAAATCCAAGGCAGAATGGAAAAATGTTAGACTCGGTATTATTGTTGGACGGAGACTTAGAGAAGGAGAGGAAGGGGGTTTGAGGTGGGGGGGGGGTTCTCCATAGGAGCCTGTGGGGGCGCGCGCGCGCGCGCACCTGCGCGAAATAGTAGCGCTGAAGTTCGGCAGCGCGAGGGGAAATTCTCTAGCTCAGCAGCGTTAGTGCTAATTTGTAAACACAGACAGACACCTTAGATTGACTGTCAGTTTGGGAATTAGAAAACACGATTTTCATTTTACTTTCTAATCACGTCTGAAACGCAAGCGCGCGCCGTATCCGCGTGCCCAGAGTTTCAAGCCTTCCGAGCAGAATTTAAAAGCAGCGGCAAACGCTGCCTGGGACTAGAGGGGAGCCAGAATTGCTATGGGCTTCGGAAGCTCGCAGGGTTATCCTCCCCTCCTCTCCCCCCCTCTCTCTCTCACCCCAATATTCGGAATATTCCTCCCCCCCCCGTTTTCTGTATGCAGATGTGGCACAAAAACATTCTTCTAAAATCTTATTACAGTGTTAACCTCCATTAAAAAATAGCACAAAGAGCCCGGAAAGCGTTCCCTTAAAATGCTTATTTCAGAGTGAGAGGCATTGATAGAAATTCAGTTTAAGCCGTGTGCGTTAAAAAGCAGGGTAAAATGGATAATTTATGCACATGTACTTAGGGGGTTGCCCTTAATGCAGGAAGCCTGAATTATAAGTAAGTTCAGGCATTCTTAACTAAAGGTAATTGCTATTGAAATCAACGGCATCTACTTCTGAGCAGATGCCACTAAAGGAGGACTGTCCCCAAACCTAGCCATTTCTGCTTTCCAAAGATTCTGTGCAGTTGGAACCCAGTATTTGCTTTTTAAATTCAAAAATGTCAGTATAAGGAAATGAATATTATTCTATTTTTTAAAAACACCAAACTAGTTAAGATACAGGGAAATAAAGAGCTTCGCGTGTTTCTCCTGGTGTGTTTAGAAATTCATATCCCTTTTGTATTGCTTTTGTTGCAGCACGTAGAGGACCCCGGTATTAACATCCCAGATCAAACTGTAATTAAGAAAGGTAAGCCACTTCTTTAGCATTCCAAGCATGTCCTCACAAGCTTGATACCGAAGCTGAGAGAACTTACTAAAGCGATTGTTTCTCCCCCCCTGCCCCCTCCCCGTAATTTACAACAGAGCTGAAAATGGAAAACGAAATTGACAATCTCGGTTGATAACCCTTTTACTTAATCGCACCCTCTGTATATGTATGATTATATTATCGAGCTAAACAGATCCATGTTTTAGCTGTTCCTAATGACATTGAGGTTCAGAACTGACTTCTAATTTCTTTAGTTGCCTTGAAAGTATGTTTCATTACCTAAGAAAGAGCCAATCCTGTTCAGTCCCCCCTCCCGCCCTATCCCTCTTCCCCCCCCCCCCCTTCAGGTTGAGGAGATTGTTCTGGATTGTTTACATCAGAGGGCTTTGTTGTAACAAGCGAGCAGGATGGCGGAAGGGTACTCGCTGGCTTAGCCTGTTCTCTGCAACGGGGGCTGTGGTTGTCTTTTCCTATGATTTCAGCTGTTTCCTCCTGATGTCTTGTTATACTTGTTTTTTGTCTGGAAGATAGTGTCCTCTTGTCTCCCAAACCTTGTCTGGCTTCGGAATTTCGTTGTTGTTGGTTTTTTAAAAAAGTATTTGCAATGTTGGCAGCAGAGCAGAATGGTTGGCTTTAATTTTAAACCCTGTTCAGGGAAATGCCGGATTCTGATCATTTGGCATGAAAGATTTGGGAAAGGATCAGTGTGGCTTTCTTACATAGTAGCTGGGTCTTGTGCTCTACAAAACAGTACTTCCTTGAAAATCTCAGCACTACACAATGAAAGCTAAAAAATTTACCCCTCCTCCCAGTCTGGAGAGTCTTTGTCACGTCAAATTAGATGTGCAAGGAATAAATCTTAAAGTGATGCTCTTTCCAAGTCGACATGATAATTGGCTCTTTTATTAGTAATCTCAAGAGTTCGTTTAACTCCTATTGTCTCTATTAGCCTCCCCAGAGCTATTAATGTCACAAGTGATCTATCCAAAACCTAGATATCCCTCCTCCACGCTCCACCCTTTAACATTTGGATTAGACCTATTAAAGTGAAAATGGAAAGTATACGAGTGTAGGATGAAGGACAAGAGGAATAAAAACATGCTGATAAGAGTAAATATTTATAGTGTAACCAGGTTGGAACATAATGCCAGGTCCATTTGCCTCCAAACAAGACTGCCCTTATTTTTCAGTGATGTTAACCAAACTGAACATGCAAAAAGATTTGGGAGAATTTTACCCTTCTCCTGCGCATTATTTTAATAATGCCCTAAAACTTTGTCATTAGGGGAAAAGTGAAAGTTGTGTCAAGGAAGTTTCTTTTCTCTTTGGGAAGCAGATGGTAGTAAGGAGGTAGACAAAAGTGTATCCATTTTCCTTTATTTTGTTTCGGGGTAATTGTTACTTAAAGAAAATTGTACTATTACCTTTGAAAACAGTAATGAAAATACCTCTTTGGCGCCTCTCCTTCCAATATAAAAAGTTGCAATTGCAGAAAATGTGACATCTAATTCAATTACTTTGAAACTATTCAATTGGAAGTACTAGGGGCTACTCTAGTACAAATTAAGCCCGTAGTCGTGTAGCTTGTAGCATTACATCCCCCAAAACAAGCGAAGGTATATTATGTGGTTGTCCTTTACAAATATTAGCAATAGGGAATACGTCTTCTTCCCGTATCCTTCACGATTTAAGGCCCCGTATCCTTAAGATTACCAGCGAACTGCTGTTCCTAGAATAATTTAGGACAAGAGGAGGTAATTTTAACCCCACCTCTTCTCCCCACCCGTGGAAAATCCTTAATTTTGATCCAATCCCGATTTGGTCTTTCAATGGGGGGGGGAGGGGAGGGGGCTGTGAAGTAGTCAATCCAGACGTTGAAAACTCGTCTTCTGTGCTTCTGCCTGAAAAGATTCGCTTACTTTTTTTTTTTTAAGATTACCCAAAGTACGTAAAAGCTAGATTTTTTAAGCAAGGGCTCGGAGTCCTCCCCCACCTTCCCTTTCTCCCTCGTGTCCCCCTCCCCCTTCCCCTCAGACACTGAAAATTTTAAAATCGAGGTTCTCCACCAAGGTCATCTGTGGCTGGGTCAAGTGGTGTGTTTAGTCCCCGCCAAGTTGCTGCGGAAAGGAAATTGGTATATTCCACCCTCCCTCTCCCCAATTTGTAAGCGTGTTTCCCAAGTTCTCCTGGTCCGAAGTCGATGCTGCCGAGTGTGGACGATGCGTAGAGGCGAGAGAGGGAGGTCTGGGGTGGATGGTGCTGGCCGGCTCGGTTGGTGGCCTTCAAAGCAAAAAAAAAGAAAAAAGGCGGAGGATGAGGAAATGGAGGAAGGGGCCGCCAGCCTCGGGGCTACCCCTTATTCCAAAAAGCTCCCCCCCCCCCCGGTCATTCTCGTTGTTGCCCATCTGCCATCATCTCTCAGCCACCTTTCCTGGCTTGTTTTCATCCCCCTTCCCCCACTCCTGTCATCGCCCACGCCTCCCCCCCCCACACGTTTCCCAAGCCTGCCGCCCCACCATCGCCTCAGGCTCCTTAGCAGCTGCTAATCCCTTCAGCGTTTGTGCACTAACGCGGCTCTGCCTTCCCTCGGCCTCCCTTCTACCCCCCCACCTTCCCCCCCTCCCTCTGCAGGCCCCGTGTCCCTCTCCAAGTCTAACGCCAACGCCGTCTCCTCCATCCCCATCAACAAGGACGCGCTCTTCGGCGGCGTGGTGAATCCCAACGAGGTCTTCTGCTCGGTGCCCGGCCGCCTGTCTCTGCTCAGCTCCACCTCCAAATACAAAGTCACCGTGGCAGAAGTGCAGAGGCGCCTGTCCCCGCCGGAGTGCCTCAACGCGTCTCTGCTGGGCGGAGTGCTACGGAGGTGAGGCGGCCCGACGTTAGCCTGGGCTTCTCAGACGCGCGCGAAGACAACTGAGGAGGGGAAAAAGCCGGCCCCGGATTCGGTGCGAGAGGCAATGTGGCGGGAAGGGAGCCCATTGGCAGAGAGGGGTGGGCACGTGGTTGCGGTGTTCCGCCTCAGCCAATCGTCTTTCCCCAAAGGCTCCAGCTCCCACCTCTTCTACCTCCTGTCTATTGTTTTAATTTCTCACAGTGGATATGCTACCCCACACTTTTAAACCCCTCCCCCCCACCTCACCCCGCGCACATCTTCATTTTTCCCTCCCTCCAAAGCTGCTTTTCTCCCTTTTTTTTTTATTTTTTTACAGAAGGCAGCTGCTGTTACTAGGAGGAGAAATAAAGCCTTTCTTTCCAATATCCCCAAATGCCACTTCGTCAATTATCTGCTGCAACCTTCTGGGCTCCCTCAGACATTGCTGGTTTTAACTTCTGCTCCACATTTTTTTTTTTTAAAAAAACACACCATATTTGTTTTGTTTTTCACTTCATGGTGCTTCTCCTGGCTCATTCATTCATGTTTATTTTTCACTGTAAGGGTTAACAGATTTTGAAAAGAAAGGACTGTTGAGAGTATTCTTGTGTTAAGTGTTTTCTCATAATTCCCTCACATTAATTTCTTCAGTAATCATTTCCCCTTGTTTAAAAATTTGGTGGAGTTAATGGGAATATACCTCAAAGCTCCATGTTTTGAAATCAGAGCCACAACTTTTCCACATTTTCCTTTAAAAATGATTCTAGGATCTTTGGGTTTTTTGTTTTTTTTTTACTATTCCCTTCAAGTCGCTAAACCTTAAATTTGAGTTTCAGATGTTCTTTTAGAATAGACAATATGAAAGAAGCTACCTATATTCTCAATATTAAATCTGCACCTGAAACAAAATGACAGCATGAACAAGCCATTTCAAAGGATTGTGACTAAAAAAATTACCAAATATGAATGGCAATATATTTATTGAAAATGCAGTGACAAATTAGAATAATTAGTATTAAGAGTTTTCATTGCTGTCATTATCTGTAGTCTGGACCATAATACAGCACAGCATCATGTATCTGGAAATTAGGCTGCATTCAGTTAAAAGAAGGCAGCATGTCCTGTTGATGAGACCCACTCATACAGTCAACATCAGCAATCGTAGGAAGGACCCTTTAGTGTAGCAAGGTCACTCATCCTAGTGTAGCGTGTTGAAAGCTCATACACACCAGCTGAGGGCACTGCCAGCATTACTTTCCTGAGGAAGGCCAGTGCAAGAGGGGAATTTGACTAGGAACACATTTATGAGAAAGTCATTTTTAAAAAAATCTCATACTAGTGTGCAGGATAAAAGAGATCTTTCCTGTTTAATCTGAATGTAGTACTGTATAATGAAAGGCAAATGATGATTGTAAATCTTACATAATGCAAGGAAATTAGGCTAAAAATACATCGCCCATTGGTTCACAACTATGCAAAAACCTCACAGCTATATGCTTGATCACAATATATAAATATATTTTATAACCTTGTGAGTGTAATTGGTGTTCACATATGATTTGCAGCTGATATTGTAAGAATACAAAAGATTTAATGTTTAACATGCGTAATTTTAGTGAATTATATATTTCAATGAATCTTGCACAGAAGTGAATAACTCTAATTATAAGCCCCCAAATTTATTTTTTTCCTAAACTTACTAAATTATTTTAATAAGCATTTATAGATTTCTGGCAAAGTATCTGAAAAACTTGCACTATGAACCTGAAGGTACTTATGTATTAAGTGCTGTTGTTTTTTAATGTGTGGAACAGGGCAAAATCAAAAAATGGAGGGAGATCTTTGAGAGAAAAACTGGACAAAATAGGATTAAATTTGCCAGCCGGGAGACGTAAAGCTGCTAATGTTACCCTGCTGACATCACTAGTGGAGGGTAAGTGATGGCTTTTTGGCAGTAGGAAGGGCATTATTTGGAAATGTTTCTTTTTGTTAGCTGAGGAAAACAAACATGTGGACCCTGAAATGTTTATGCATATTGTATAATTTAAATCATTATTGGTCAATGTGACCTTTTCCTCTTGTATTTTTTTTTTAAAAAGGGACTCTCAGCCAAAATCCATTGATGTCAAAACATTGGATGTGGCTTTATTGATATTTATTTGGGTTTAAACCCTTGCAATGCATTTCAGAGTTGGATGCTAAATCTCAGTGAAATGAATGTAACCAAATTGGCATGCAGTGTAATGCTTCATTTTAACTGGGTTGCTAGTTGATTGATCACTTGGATTAAAAAGTAGGACTGAAAACATTAACAGAGTAAACATAACTAATGGATTAATTTATTAATCACTGATTGACATGGTAGATTTTAATTGGATTTTAATCAGTGTAATCCCAAGTGAAAGGGGCAAAATAGTGACATGTACAATTATTGTATATATCTTGATTTATATAACAAGGATTTGGGTTATGATGATTTTCCATACAATGTGTGACTTGACTGAATTACTTTCTTAAAAGAAACTGCTGCTCTTCAACAGCATCTCAACATTTAATAGATTAATTATCATGCTAAGACGTATAATTGAGCTAAAATTTATAAACTAGTAGAATTAAAAAACATAGTCATGATGAAGATTATTTAGTCCATTTATCACACAAGATAGTTGCTCCTTAAATGCATGTTATTGTAAATGTTTAAGAAATGAATGGATTTTAATATGTACAAATATATTAAATACAAATAATTCATCTATATTATATAGTTAAGATCCAATTATAAGCCCTATAAAATCCAGACTGAAAATCAAATTAAATGTGAACAATATTAGTCACTTCAAATTCTACAACCATGCCTTTGAAGTCCATAGATTTATTGCATTATTTCTGCTGAAGCGAATATAGCTTAAATAACTCAAAATGACTCTTAGTTATAGACAGTATAACAGCAATCCAGAGAAACATTAGGAATATAAGGATGATTTCTGAGAGCAAGTCACTATTATATGAGTGACGGCTTTAAAAACACTGTCTTTGGGTGAAAATGTTAATTGTTTCATTAATTGAATCCCAAATAATGTGTTTTGTTTAACTTTGGTTTTATTTTTATTCTGTTTAGCTCTGTCCTTATTTTCTAGTGTCTTCAGAGTTGAACAGAATATGTCTATGCACATATATAGTGGCCTACCAAATATGGAAACATTGTTCAGATTAAAAAATATATAAAACGTACTATATCTATTCCTGATTCTCTGTCTTTATGCTTGATAATGGTACAACAGATACAGAATGACTGCCAGCATTACTGGCAGCATGACCACTAAGGAGTTACCATCTCTGCTAGTTGCTTCAGAAACTAACTATATGAGTAGTTTTAGACCAACAGATGGGGGGGGGGGGGGGGGGGGGGGATGAAAGAAATCTGTTTAGAAATGAGATCAGGAATATTTTTTATTTTGGCACATAAAAAGCATGCTGCATTTATGTGCTATAATAGGTAGGCTGGAAGTTTATTGGACCTAACAACACTTAAGATCTGTTTCCAGTGCTCAGGATCTAATTCTTTGCACATTAATAAACATTAAAAAGTTAAATCCTATAGCTACCTTAAGCTACAACTCTGCTATTTTAAGCTACATACCAGTAGCTTATTTATATTTAAATCATTTTGACATCTGCATTTGAAAAATATAGAACATTAACTTCTTGAATTAATTTGGGAATCCTTGACCTAAACCATGATTTAATAGTGTCCTAATCTTACTGCAAGGTTCTGATCTCCTCTTTGCTTGGTATAATTAAGCAAAATAGAAATGCTTTATTTTCCTCCTATTTTAATTGTGAAAAGAGGATGGGTGAATGTGCTGTTTGAACATTAAGAAGTCAAAAGGGGTGGACATGTATCTTCCTTTCTGTTAAAATAGTTATAAAGTTTATAATGAGAACAAGAAATGCAAGGGGCATGCTAAATTGAGAATTACTTTGTAGTAGCTATTGACCCAAGGAAGTTGATACAAACTGTCCTATCCATGCAGTCTTCACTAGGTTTTAATTTTGAGGTCTTTAACCTTGATTTTGGTTATGTAGAGTGAATTTTAAGTCATTCTTCATGCCAAGTTAGCTTTAGTTTTGCTTACTATCAGTTTATAGCCATCTTTTCTCCTTTTTTTGGTTGCTTTCTTTTTTTTTAAGTTCAAAGAAGTGAAGCTACAGCATTATAAAAAAAATGCCAGCTGCCACTGAAAGTCCACCAAGGAGTCTTGCCATTAATAAATAGTGTACTTAAATGCCACCAGCAACTAATGGGTAATCATGGAAAGCAAAAGAAACTTTACAAGTAGCTGAAGAAAAAACAGGAGAGCAGGAAAAAAGGGGGAAGGGGAAAGGAGATAAATGCTAATATCGTGATGTTAGGGAATATTTTAAACGTTTAATAAAACCTATAATTTCAAAGGAGCGTTCTTTTTTTTTTTAAATCACGGTTTGATCATCATATTACGATGAAGAGAAACACAGGAATAAAGCTAATGCATAGATAAACTAATAATAGTGGCTAATTTTTCCCCCTCTCAAGAGATAATAGACGATTGTTTGGGTTGTGGTCCTTACGCGATGAAGCCGCTTCCAAAGTCCTGTTATTGTTTATGATCCGCTCCATTTTATGGAAACAAGCTCCGTGGACTGAGGCTTTGAAGCTCTAATTGGCGCATGCGTTCTTCCGGACCTCGAGCTAATGGCAGGAAGCCCTGCGGTGAAAACCAACTGGTTCAGGAAATTAAAACCAAAGATTTGAAAATCAACAAAACAGACAGTCTCAATGGAATGACCCTAAAATTCTTATGGTTAATCGTTTGAAAAGGGGGGGGGGGGAGGAAGGGAAGGAAGGATAATTATATGCAATCAAGTTAAATTTTAAGCACTTAACTATTTAATGCAGTCTACGGGGTGGGGATTGAAATAATGATCAATGATCAATATTAATCTCTAGGAACAGAATAATTATATGTTTTGTATGTTTTTCTTTCCTGTGTATATACATAATGTATTCCCGTAATGTAATATAAACTAAAAGCACAACTAGAAACATAATTAAACTTTACAAAATAGAGATAAAATACTTGGGACACTTTTGTTAGTGTGTTAAATAAACTGCCATAAATATATTGCAATATAATTTAGGACTAAAAGCTGACTACCTTCACCACTTTATGAATTGCTTAATCTACCGCCCCCCAAAGGATTCTTTAGGATCAGTATTAACACGCTCGTAGTTTGATATAAAGCAATGCATTTGACTGAGGCCCCCACCCCACTCCGTAGCAATTTATTACCTTCAGGAAATTTCTTTAGCACACTGAGATATTATTCTTTTCTAAAGCAGCGATTTACCAGTAGATTGCAAAGTGCCAGTTAATCTTGATTGACTGGATATCACGTGAAGAACCCAAAGATGCACCTAGCAAAGTCTAATAACAAATCCCATAGATTTGTTGGCACGAGTTCCCACCTTCCCGTCGCCCGCTTATGCTTTGGGTATTAATTATGTATTTCCTCCCAATCCACATTTCAGGAGAAGCCGTGCATCTCGCGAGAGATTTTGGTTACGTCTGTGAAACAGAATTTCCTGCCAAAGCAGTAGCTGAATTTCTCAACCGGCAACATTCCGATCCAAACGAGCAAGTCACAAGAAAAAACATGCTTCTAGCGACGAAGTAAGACTTTTTACCTCTGCGGAATATTCCTAAGGAAGATTTTGTTTATTATGTTTGGTTGTGCGCTGAGCTTTTCCTCTGGTGCATTTACATTTGTTTGCTGCGGATATATTATTCTCCGTACCTGCGTGATTGCCTTGGCGAGGTAACTAAAAAGTACACAATTCCTCATCGAGGGGGAAACGATATTATTGCCAATGACGCTATTGTTGAAATCAAGCAGACGTATGAGAATGATTCCCCCACCCTCCCTGGAATGGTGTTACTAGAGGCGTTCAAATGGGAAGAAAATGGCATATTATAATGGCGAGGCTCTAGATTTATCAGAGAGTAAGCCCCGTTAAGTATAGTGGGATTTATTTTGAGGATTGTAGACAAGGTTGCGTAGTTATTTGGAAGTAAGTAAAATTGATCTCAATGGAACTTACATGCTGAATAAAAATGCTGAAGATTGATTAACTGTGAATTCAGGTATTAAAAGTATTTCACTTCTAAGCAACTAAAATGCCAGTGGGGGTTTATTTTAAGAGAAAGACTCTAGGGATAGCTTAATAGAAAAGATATTCAATATTCAGGTTAGGTGGTGGGGGAAGAGGAGAAGGAACTCTCAATTATTGTAAATGATGTGTTTGCTGGAAATTAAAATGCTTTCCCCCTCGTAGTAGTTAATTACAGATGGTGATTCACCAAAGAACAGTGGGCCAGAGGGCACCCAGTTACTGGGAGAGATATACAGCTGAAATATGTCTCAATACTTCCCTTTAGAAACTCAATTGCTGCCATATATATGCTCCCAGTTTTTTCCCCCTCCTCTGCTGGCAGTTTATTTAGATACTAGTATGGATCTAATTTCTGAGTGGATCCCTTTATTCCAGTGCTTTGTGACCTACATAAACAGTACTGCATCTTTCTAATGCCACCAAATCTTATATGAAATGAGAGTCCTGGGATTGATAAACTAAAGAAGTAGCTTTGAGAACTGTTCACTGTTCAATTGGAGTTTTGTTTTGTCCATAAAATTATGGTAACCCTCACACTTTATTGTCAATTTGCTTGCTGAGAATAATGGAACTTTTTGTAAACATATGTAGAGGGTCCTAAGTGAAAAAAAAGAAAAGAAAAAATAGTGTGTGTATTGAGATCAATACAACTTACTTTCAAGGAAAATTACAAGCTTATGGTAATACTTAGACCTAAAAAATAACTGTTGATTTAAAGCCAGAAGACTAGACATGAATGTTAATTACAGAATTTGTAATTAACAAGTTTGATGGGGTAAACAGTGGGTTATTACTCTGGAGGAAGGAAGTGGGAGATGTGTTTTGTATCAAGGAGAAATGTGTATGCTTGTGTGATTTCCATAGAACTGACATTTTTCATGTGATTATGAAAATGTGGATGTATATGAGAGGAAAGAGTTAAATTAAAACACAGAGCTGTATTGAGTATGACAGAGAAACTTCAGATATCAGCATCAGTAAATAAATGTGAGGGCATATTGGGATGAAGAATACATTTGGTGCAAACTGCTGTTCCAATAATTATTGATACAGTAGTAGCTTTGTATTGTATTTTCATATTTTTCAGACAGTAATCTATAACTGCTATCCTTTGGATGAAATAAAGACATGGTCCTCATTTTTGGACACATAGCTAGACACATAGTTTAAGGGATTAGTAACACCCTATAGGTATCTAATGTACTTGTATGTAATACATGCACATGCAGAGAGAGGGAAGGACAGAGGGAGGGAGGGGGAGAGAGAGAGGGAGGGAGAGAGATAAATGTGGGAAAAAGATTCTAGATGCCACAAGATAAGAGGGTGATCTAGTGTAAAAATGCATCTGTGTGTTGAAAGACAAAAAAGGAAAATATTGTTCCTGGAAGAAATGGATGTAAATCAGTGCAGAGGAGAAGCCAGGGAGATGAGAGAAAGAGAAAGGCTGTTATATTGATGCCAATATTTCTATATAGGGCATCAGCGGTGCAGAACTGAGAGAACGGGTAAAAGAGTAGAGATCCTTTCTGTGTGTGCATGTATGATTTTGCTGTGGAGGCAACTGACTCCTTGGCTCGCCTGCTTGCTGACAAGACTGGCTTATTTTCCTCCCTCCCCTTCTCTCTGCTCCATTTATGCTGCAGACAGATCTGTAAGGAGTTCACCGACCTGCTGGCTCAGGATCGATCTCCACTGGGGAACTCTCGGCCCACCCCCATTCTGGAGCCGGGCATCCAGAGCTGCCTGACCCACTTCAACCTCATCTCTCACGGCTTTGGCAGCCCTGCTGTGTGCGCAGCAGTCACTGCCCTGCAGAACTATCTCACCGAGGCGCTCAAGGCCATGGACAAAATGTACCTCAGCAACAATCCTAATAGTCACACAGATAACAGCACTAAAAGCAGCGACAAAGAAGAGAAGCACAGAAAATGAGGATTTTCTTCTTGCAGCCCCAACCAGACGAGCCAGCCTGGCCCTCCCTCCCCTTCCTCCTCACCCTGAGGCTACAGCAAGAGAAGCTCAGAAATCTGTCCCAGCCTATTCACTCAGGAGGACCGGCTAATTCACATCTCTTTCACTCCCCTACCCACCATTCTCCTTTTTCTTCTCTCCTCTCCTTCCCTACCTCCATCACTTCCCAGTTCATTTCCAGTTGCTACCCAGTTTGGAGCCCAGAAAACAAAGGTGGCGATTGGGCCATCCTAAGAGGAAAAGGAAAAAAAAACATTTTTTTGTCGTCTGTGTGAACTTTTATTATTTTTAACAAAAATAAATAAACTGATAAAAATAAAACAACTTTTTTTTCTAAAAAAAGAGAAAGAACTAAGTTTAAAGGTTAATAATTAATGAAATGTGGAAAAACAAAAACAAATGAGCTTCATCGGACTGGATCACCACCTTCTCTTATACAAACTTCCGTTTAAGATTGTAGCCATATTTAAACAAAACAAAACAGGAAAGAAAGGATAATGATGATGATGATGATGACATTTTATCAGTATTGTGAATAAACTTGAACACAAACCACATGCAGTTCCATGTCATGTCTTCAGTTTTAGCACCTCTCTCCTGCCAAGGTAAAGCGACTAATTTGAACTTTCTTATGGTGACACCGATTCATAGTACTTCTATAAGGGAATCAGTGTTCTGTATGTATATATTTATTTATGTGTAATTTAATGGGAACTGTAAATATGGTGAGTCTGTTTGAAGCTTTTTTTATTATTTATCTGGTGATCTCGTTTACCTCTTGTTTAGTGGGTTTTTAAGTCTTTCCCATCTTAGTTCCATCACTGTGGTTCATAGTTACTTATTTAGAAAACGGGAGGGGAGTTTTTTAGGGGGAGGTGGGGTGGTATTTTCTGGGATTCATCACTTCAGCCCTGTTGTAGCATGTTATAAAAAGGCGACAATAAAGCAGCTAAGCGATTGAAGCAACTTGGATTTTTACAAATATATTATTAACATGATACTTAATTTCCACATTGATAAAGGAAAATAAATCAACCGTCCAACCCAGACCAACCACCATTTCCACTGAAATAATTTAGATTCCCCTTCCAAAAACATTTTTTCCGCATGTTGATAATTTTTAACAAATCTTCGTATGCTGTGGCTTTAAAAAAGTTTATATCCAGGGTCTTTCTATTGAAAGCATAATCAGAGCAATAAGTTGATATTGTCTATTCAGATAAAGAACTGGGGATATTCACTTCCCTCTCCCCTTTTTCATTTTGAGTTGCCTTTTGGTTCAAAGAACTTCCATACATTGGGGACCACCTGGTATCCTCTATTTCCACCGGCCATATTGGAAGCAGTTACAGTTGTATTGTATTGAGTTGTGCTGGCAGTAGTTTCCATGCCTGTCAATGTATCATAGTCCTTTGTTGCCCAGATAAATAAATATTTGATACGCTTTATGTCGATTTTTTTTATTCAGTGGCTGTCTTTACCCAGGCGTATTTTTGTTCTTGGCAGTATTTTTTATTCAGTATGGTTACAGTAATTGAGTTTAACTCTCCCTTGACAATTGCTCTTTGCAATAAGCAGCTGAACCCATTGTTTCCCTCAAGTATAATAAAAACTTACTTTCAAGTTGGAGTTCAGAGCAGGGTATCATTTAGATATTCCACCGAGTCTGTATTCAGACAAATTACACAATAAAACAAAATGTATTCTTTTGGATTAAAAAAAAATATTGTATTGTTGAAGAAATGGCATTTTAATTTCCTTTAACTGAAAGGTGATTTTATTTTTTAAAAATAAAGTTTTATTTTATTTATTTGATCTTTAGGTTTTGTTCTTGTTTCATAATTATATATCAGGGTTACCCATTTTAAATGTGTGACATAATATGAATTGCTTTTTAATTTTCAATGCAATTTAAAGGATGGAGAAAAGAATTATATCTGACTGAGAATTATGGGTAACTATGTATATTCACATATAAATGTTCATACAGAACACATTTTTTTAAAAAAATTGTGTCTATGTAAATGCAGGGGATATATTTTCATATTAGGGAAAATAAGTAATCATACTCATCTTGGTTGACTGACATTATTTCGGATTTATTTTAGGTTTGATCTTATGATTGTGTCACATTACTCTAAACATTTAATCATGTGATAATAGCTTTTCCAATATTTTGGATGAGGAAGATCTTATTTTGAAATGATACATGTTTGAATGATAAGCAATACAACTCAAACTTTTAGATAAGTGTGAAATATTTTATTTTCATATTGGCTAGATTTTAGTTCCAGAGAATGAGGCTATTCATTTGGAAGAGATGCTAGCATGCTTTTTATGTTAGAAATTGGCTCAAAGTGCACTCTTAGAATAATTGCACTTTTAACTCATTATTTCATTTTCTTTGGGTTCATATGGTACAAAATTGGCTTTATGCAAATGTGGTTTGATAGAAATAGAAGCAGAGAGTGAAATGTTGATATTAAAGTGTTATTTTTGTGGAGATACATGGTTAAAATGCTGATTTGGAGTATTGAAGCTGAAGTGTTTGAGCAAACATTGTGAAACTTATTTCCAGCATGATGATTGATACCAATCCAGATCAATTTTGTCTAGTCTTCTGATAAGTATTGCAAAAAGTTAACAGTGTGATGGCATACCTGAGAAGACAGTGCAGGGACTTCTGCTTCTACCCCAAAAGCAGAATGGAAAAGTCTTAACTAGTTGGTACCTTTTCTCAACAAAGAGAAATTTAGATCTGGTATTTCTATTTGACTGTTGGTAGAGGAAGCCAATCCAGTGATGAAGAAGTTCTGTTTCTTCCCTTCTTTACTTAGGGAAGACAACAAAAAACCAAGATAGTTGGTTTGCTGCTTTTAAAATGCAGTTTTACAGTGAAATATTCTTCCTCTGATGGCATATGAATCTGCTGTTATGTCTGTGAGATAGACATTGAAAGTGGATCTTCTGCATATCATTTTGAAAATGCTTATTCATCCCCTTGCCCCAGATACATTGGTTAACTGTAAAGCGGATGTAACCAAATAATGAGGTGAATGAACCCTAACTGTACACGCAGCCTTGACATAAATGAAATGCACAGCATTGTAGCAGGTGAAGTGAAGCATTGTCTATCTGGGCTGTTTTTCTTGGCTGCAACTCAGATTGTGTGGGGGATCCTAACCTCAGGCACAATGGCATTCATAAACAGCAATGCACACACTGCTGCTCTTTCTCCAGCAATGCATAAATACTCATTTTTAAATGAAAAACAATCTTATTAAATACCATTCATTCATATCTGGATTTACAGATGCTTGTTACTTTAAAAAAAATCTGCCTAATAGTTTTTAGCTGTAACTGGGGAATGTGTAAAGCATATTTAATCTTAACAACATTCCTAATAATTTAAAAGATATGAATAATGTATCTGGTAGTAAAATACAATTTCAGAAATGAAATTTAATAAATATTGCATAGTTACTTATTGCAAACAATTAAGAATTAGAGTTGTAAAAATAACATTAAACCTTAAATGATATTTATGCATTGCTTAAGTCATGTTAAAATAGATTGATCATTAGTTTAGTTAAAATATGTTAATTATTATTAACGCCATTTTTTAAACTTTTTTGAAAACCGAAACTTAGTCAATTTAAGACAGTAAGTCTGATGATTATTGAAATGATTTGTTTATTCTGCTTTAGAAACCTGCTATAAACATTGAGAATATATCTCATTATTTCATTTTGACCTTTTTTAAAAAAGTGCTTATTGCAGGAGATAATAATGGGTTCATTACAGTTTGGGGCTCATCTGCTGTGACAAAAGTGCAGTTACCAAATCATGGTAATTACTTTCACAGTATTTTTCAGGGAGGGGGGATGTATTTTAAGTGTGGTAATCAATCACTGTTGCAGCCTTTCAAATTCTAGGCCATGCTTTTAGCTGCTAACCTTAACATACACACACCGTAATAGAAATTAGTATGAATGGTTAAATGTTAATGAGCTATAGTGCAGTCCCTTCATGCTATGCTAATTTATGCATTTTTAAAAAATGTACTACAATGTGTCTTCAAGCTGAATGGTTACCACCCTCCTCTGTAATAAATCATAATCTACCCCTCCTTCCTCCCAACCTCCAAAATCGAATATTAATATAATTTGAGATTTAACTGGTGGAACAGCCATCAGGACAGCAATGCCCTGCAGCTGAAATAATATTTAAAATAGAAGAGATTTGACATTTGATAAGTCAGTGGCTTGAAATACCCAGTTGTACTTAGCTAATTCAGTCCTTAACCTCTGGTTTCAAATAAATCAATTACAGTCGATTCCACTTCAGTTCAGAAGTGCATGAGGTTTTCAGTTAATTGAATACATTTTATTTGCTAGGAATATTCATTTATCCAAACCTTTAAATATAAAGGAGTTTTCTTTGATTGTCCGTGTTAAATTTAACTGCATAATCCAATCAAGACATGCTTGTTTGCTTGGATTCTCTCTAAATTCTATAATGGATAGCTTGTTTTCTTTACAATGCATACCTCAGCAAATTGCAATTTTGTTGAATTTTGTTTAAAACAACTGTGGTCTTAGATCACTTAAGGTGAATTTAGATTCTCAAAAACTAGTGAAAGTTAGTCCTCAGGTTACTATTTAGGATAAGTTTGTAGAATAAGACTGAAATTCTGAAATACTTACAGAATGAGATATTTAGTTTAGTTATATCTGATTTGTTGACAAGACTGTTGATTAAACTCCTGTCAAAACCAGGTTTAGGATGTTATTTACTTTACAAATAAACCCCAAGAAAACAAGGCACATCATCTTAACGTATTCTCAAGTATTGTCTTTCCTAACCTGGTACCACAAGATGTTTTGAATTACATCTCCTAAAATGCTCAGCCTGCATAGCCACAGTGGCAGGAATTTTGGGAAATGTAATTCAATACATGTGGAGTGCACAGAGCATTACCCAGCCATCTCGGAAGTGATAGAAAACCTGCCCTCATTGCTGTTTTTTGGCACAATGATGGCTGAATAACTTTAGACGATATTGTAAATTGCTAGTGGGGAAACGACCTAAAGCTTGAGGACAGTTCCTTTAGGTTCCTGCTCCAAAGTAAACTCCCACTGATGTTAGAGCTTTATTCCCTAGCAATAAATTGAAGGTATATAACTAGCATGTGAGAATACAATCCTATATAGATTTATTAGAAGTTAAGTGCCGGTGTAGATGGAAATTTACTTCCAGTTGAGCCTGTGGAGTTTTGAGTCATAGACAAAAAACAAAGCACATTGATTATTGTGGTGCAGGACAGCAGTCTAAATAAGCAAATGAATATGCTTATTAAAAAAAAGTTTGCAGCAGAAATAAAACGGGAAGTTAGTAGTTTAACGAAATTAAGCATGCAATGAATTTACAATTGCTTCTGACAATGTCTATTTTGCCATTGAACTCCTTGGTGTTCACCATTCAACCAGAAAGACTCAGTTGCTTGCTATCTCTATTACATGATCAATTATAGTCCAAACCAGGATATAATGAGAAGGTTGTCATTAATTTAGTGGAATGTGAATTGCATAGATCTCCATACCATTTCATCCTTGGGGTTCTTATGCTTGGTGTTACTAATACCAATATTGCTAATACTGCTCATATAACTTTATAGTAATTGGTAGTGGTTGTAATTTGGGGGGGGGGGTTTCCAAAAAGTTTCACTACCTTATGGCAGTGATGCATGAAACAAATTTGTAAGGTAGGTCAATAAAGTTCATCATAAATTGACAAAGTTTTGGAATAACAATTAATTGAAAGCCACTTAATGAACTTGAAATTGATTGCAAGAAGTTCCCGGTTCATCTCCCATCTCTACTCTAAAATTATAAATAGAATATTGATGAAGGAATAAGTCAATCATGTCCAGAATCATAATTGTTTGAAGGGCATTGTTTGCAGACTGTCCTTTCTACAGTGAATAAGAAGTCCTCCCTATTTCCTATAAAATGCCTAGACACCCACATCTTTCTTCTAAAAGCAAAATCGGGCGTCCTCAAACTTCCCTATAACTAGAAGCGCTGGACTGCCATTCCAGTCCTTTTGTTGAGGTCGGCCAATGTCAGAGAAGGAAGCGAGTTAAGGAGACTTAGTTTACAATTGCACGTTGCTTCTTTGCTGGGGGAGAGTTTCCAGGTCTTGGGTCTGCACCGGCCGTAATTTGACTGTTTTTGGGAACAGAGAACAACCGATTAGCGCCCTCTTTGCCTCTTTCAGACCTGACGACACACTGAACGTGCCCAGAGGATAATCGGGTTAGACAACTGCTGGGAATCAACATCTGCTCCTTTTCCCACCTCCATTTCAGCCCTCTCCCCTTTCCCACCCCGTTATTGAAAAGCAGGCAAGGCTTGGCTGGGGGGTCAGGGCTATAGCACCGGGGAGGAGCATTTCGATCCAAGCTGGAAGGGAAAATGCGTGGGAGATAACAACAGATTTTTCTTGGCCGGTCTCTCTTCTGCAACAGCGAGGGACCAAAAGGTCCGGAGAGATGCTTTCCTTTCTCTCCCACGCAGCGACTCCGGGTTTTCTTCTGGCCCGAAGAAAACTTTGGGAAACGCGGCAGGAGGGCCTGTAAAGCTCCCCACCCAAGAATTCGCTCCTCAAACCCACGTGGTTACACCTGGTTACTTTGAGGAAGCAAGCAAAAGAACAGGAAATTTGTTGCTCCTTCCTGCGTTCCCGGTTAAAACAACCATCCTGTTGGAAAAAAAGAATAGCTTACAGGGGAAGTTTCACTGAGTTGCTTGTGT